CCCCCCCTTCCCCGAACATAGTTCAAATCTCACAAGAAACCAGCTTCATCAATTTATGCCAACCCTAACCCTCCCTCCCAATCAACCTTCACATCAACTTGACACACCTTTCCCACCTCCGGCATCTCCCCGCTCCAGCCATACACTCTCCTAAGAATGGCAACACCGTATGTCCCGTGGAATTCTGCTGCAGGACCACCGCTCCCTCAAAAAACCCCGCCATATACCTCGCATTCGCAACAGGCGTAATGGGATCAACCGACGGATTCACAAACAAAATCGGCGTCTTAGTTTCCGTATCCTTAAACCCTACATACCAGTTAGATCTCTGGATGCAGAAAAGGAAAAGGGGAGCAAGTTGTACAACTCACCACTAAACACCTGACTCTCCGGAGGCACAACCTCAATCCCCACCCCCACCACCAAATTCTCCAGCACATACACACGTCCCGCATACACACTCGTTCTTACCACTTTCTCATACACCTCCCTAAACCCCGTCCGACTCACCTTACTTCTCCCCGCGTAGTCAGCCCCAGTAACCAACACATACGTCTCCTGTGCCGCCCCACTGGGCCGTTGGAACCGCCGAGTTTCCTCCAACCATCTCGCTCCATCCCCTTTTTCGAGTGCGGCAAGACCGCGTGCCAGGAACGGGAAGCCCGTAGCACCAGCGTAGAGAACGTGGAAAGCTGCGGCCAGAACGGCGGTTTTGGTTATAACCTTTGGCGCGGGAGTTGAGGTGGATAGAATGACTGGTTCAACTTGGAGGTTGGATAAGAGGATATCGAGGCGCTTTTTCACGTCTTTAGCATAGAAGGGGCAGTGCTGTGGTCCAGCAGCGTGGCACAGGTTGAAGAACCAAGTATATGCTTCATCGACGTCTCGTACGGCATCTAGCTTAGCGCCGTTGAAATGGTCGTCAGCGTTGACGGTGCCGTCTAGGACTATGCGGCCGACGCGGGTGGGATATTTAAATGCGAGCGTTTGTCCAATGAGGGTGCCGTAGCTTAGACCATAGAAGTTCACGAGAGATTCGTCGGGATTCTTGAGGTTGCGGAGGCGGGACTGGAGAGTGGTAAAGTGGAGTATATCTTGTACTGCGGCGAGGGTACCTGCGTATCGTGCAGTTGTGTTCGCATTGGCTTTTGTGCACCATTGTCCTATTGCAAGGCCGCGAGCGTAGGTTTCGTCGAGATTTAAGGCTTGGGATAGCTCGTCGAAAGTACTCCAGTATGCGTCTCGGATGTTTGGTTGGCCGGGGAAGCAGGTCAGTTCGACACCGCTATTGTTTACGCCCCTTGGGTCGAAGCTGACAATGTTGTATTGTCCGCCACTGAGATTCAAGATGAGGTCGCCGATTCCGGAAAGCAAACTGCCTACGCCTGAGCCACCGGGTCCACCAGGATTGAAGAGAAGATCCTGAGTAACGTTTCCTGGGGCAAGCTTGCGAATGAACGCCATGGTTGTGGTGCCAGTACTGCTGTATTCATAGTCAAGCGGTACTATCAAATTGGCACAGTCAAAGCCGTTGTAGCATGGTATCCATTGAAGATCAGACGATGGAGTAATCTAGACTTCCAGCATAAGTTGAGAAGATGAGATTGAATTGCCATACTCACTTGACTAAAATTCTGCACTCTGTTTGCTTCATACGGCAGCGCACTCTGGGTACTTGGAGAAGCGGTGGTAAGCGATACAAGAAGTATGGATGGAATTATCACAGACTCAAGGTGAACCATTCTGCCAAAAATGCGAACCTAGCCGATTCTAGAGACGATGGGTAAGTATAGGCCGGCTCTAGACACGAACGGCACCACCATCATTGGGATGAGCCAATATCTTATAGTGCCTGGCCCTACCATCTTCGTACAATGACGACGAGGCTGCTGATGGCTGCAGTAAATCGTGAAACATGCGCATGATCAAAGTGCTTCTATGCTATTTAAGTTGACTTGCTGCATCTGTGGGGAGCCTAGTTCATGGAAGATTTTCAAAAAAAAAGACTGAAGTTATTGCGCTGTTTAGTGTCGCTTTGATCATTCAGTCCTGGATATTCGTAGGAACAGCAATGGTGTTATGTCCGATCTACAACAACATGCGTTAGGAGGGCGTTGCAAGCAAGGCTGACTTTGCGGGGTTGGGAGGCATACCTAACAAACGTAAGGCCACCCTTACAGCCTCGTTGATGCGCCCATAAGTACGCCTGCTTTGTGAGGCCTTGTGGCGGGCCGACTTGCAGCGTATCAAGTTAGTGAAGAAACTAACCACTAAAGTAGACTGCGAAACGAGATATATGGGAAAGGAGAATTTCAAAAGCATTGTATGTATCAATGTATTGTGTTAGACAGTCTCTACAGCTCGCAGCATAGACTACAGAGAGTAATGCCGGTATGCGCGACGATCTGATTTGAAGTGGTATCCCTCCCAAACGCCTTGTTCTTGTCCCAACGCCAAACAGCCCTTTCATCCTAACTTGGCTAAGCAGTTGTGCGCAAACTCCAACATTCCAACTGCGCATTTACCGCTTTGCCTTCACATTGAATGGGCTTTCTTCCGCAGCCTTGAACGCGTCAAACGCGAATAGACTGATGAAGTACAGGGCTGCAAATCTGATCACCAAATCGGTCAGGCCGCCGTTGCCCATCAACATGCGTTGTAAACCTGCGAATGGACTATCTCCGACCGGGCGACTGGGTTCCTCAGCTGACCCAAGCGTGCGCCCTTTGGACTGGAAGGCAGCGGAGGCGGCGCCCGGACCAGATGTGTCGCTGGCAGCTTTGCGCACGGCAGCTGTAAGGGCAGAGGGGTTTGCGCCGCGGATAGTCTCGACTACTGAGTTGGACTTGATTACCAGGAAGGTTGGCATGCTGCGAATAGCGCATGTTAGCATTCCATGTCTTGATTGAGGTTTTTGACTGCGATTTGGAATCCCGTCAATTGGAATGTACGTACGCGCTGACGCCATATTTCCTTGCAACCTCCTGCTGGCTATCTACATCCACCTTGACAAACTGCATCCTTCCTGGCTTTGTCTCCTTCTCTGCTAGGTTTTGGAAGACGGGCGCAATGGCTTTACATGGCCCGCACCAGTCGGCGTAGAAGTCTACGACGGTATATGTAGATTGCGAGAGAAGCTGGGAGAAGTGCGAGGCCGAGGTGACGGCGATGATTTTGCCCGGCATGATGGCTGTTTTCGCGTAGATTCCTGGTGTTTTGACAAGGTGCAGAGAAGCGCTTTAGGTCGTACTGGGTTGGTTCAGTTGATGGATGGTGGAGTGGATATGATTTGCGGGGAGGACAGCTTGCGACTGGGATGCACCACCGGGAGCTTGGGTGGGTCGTGCACTGATCACTAACGTAAGTTCATCGCCCCGCATTACGTGCTTCTGCATTCAATCGCTAGGCCAAAGCTTTGTATTTACCTTTGGCAGTCGGAAATATAATTAGATGAATGAATTCATAACTTATAGGATGATTTGACTGGAATCCCGCATTCTTCTGCTTGCTACTGAGACTCACTCTCTAGCCATATATAGTTATGATAGCCTCTGCAATCGTCTCCATGGGCGATACAAGGAATGAATGACAGCCCGACTCTTACACTTGTGTCTCGCTTCCATAGATATGTATATATTGTAAGACCATCGCAGTCACTACTCCACTTTTTGAATACTCTCCCCTTGCAGCATGTTCAATTGTCCACCAGATCTTCAGGAGCTGATGTAGCAGCCTCAGCCAGGACGTTGGCCTCTTTGAATGGACTAGATCTGCTCCTTGACTTTCTTGGAACATACTCTGGTTCGGCCTCGCTACCGCTGTCAATATCTTCAGCAGGGCGTCTCTTTGCTTTCGATTTCTTTGCTTTGGGTTTTGCCACGGGTGATGGTGAGATTGTTTCTTGCAATTTAACGTTCGGATCCTCGAGCTGGTCTTCTGACTCTTCCGGACTGTCACTAGGTTCTAGCTTGACTTTGGTCTTCTTGCTACGAGGCGTCTTCGACTTCGGCTTTGCTTTCGTCTTCGGTGGCGCGACCTTAGGCTCTGGCGGCTCCACAACCTCGCCCGTTTCGAACGTCTTGAGCACCACTTCCTTGAACTCTTCGGGGATGTTATCGATACCATAAAACTCCCCCTTCTCGTAGCACATCTGTGCACATGCCAAGTCATACTTAGACATACACTTCTGCGGGATGTTTAGCACAAGACTCCACCCGGAAGATACGAAACAACTTACCCAGTGTTTGTAGTACGGCGTAACATGTTCACCGTCAAAGTTGACCAAGATGCCGAGTCTCAGATGGCCCTTGATGATCTTAATGTTGTCCGATACACAGTCGCCTCCACGGCAAGCAGCAGCGCGAGTGGCGACGTCAGCCTTGTAGCCCTCTGCGTCCCTATACTCTTTTGCGTACTTGCGTGAGTTTTTCGCCAGGTCCTCACGAATATCCTTGAACCCCTTATCTACGGGCATACCCTTCTCGAATGCCAGTCTCACCTGCTCTTGACTTTCTGGGCTGAGTCGATCATAGCCAGGTGCTTTAGTTGGGTCGTTCTCGGTAGTCTCCTTCAAGCCCGCGATTTGATGCTTCGTCGCGCATCCCCTAGATCTGTATTAGCATTTCTTTGCGTGTGAGGATGCAGGAAACAGATTACTCACCAATGACGCCAGGCCATGTACCATCGGCTTTGGATACCATTGTCGAACAGTGTACGTGTACCGATGCGCAGTTCACCTTTGACAATTTTTGATTCATTCCGCTTACAGGCTGCTTGCTGACAGATTGCTGAGCCGGTATCCGCATGGTCTAGGTGTTATTAGTAAGGGATAGAGCCTCCAGCAAACGAGCCCTCACACACCTAGGCGCCATTTGGGGCCCTCGTCACCCATGGCTTTTGGAAGGTAGGCGAAGTATGAGTGAATGGTAAAGGGTAAAAGGGCAGACAAGGTCGTGAAAGAAGAACGAGTGTGAGTCGATGACATGTGAGGCGAGTCGTTTGTTTGTTTTCACCACGCACGTGCAGCTCTGTGGAGAAAGAGGAAGGCACGGCAATACCAAACCGTAGTCACGGGTGTCAAACTTCTTATGAGTAAGTACGAGATGGGTGATATGAACAAGCCGGGAAAGAGATGTTACTTATGATGATCCAATCTATTGAAGCGCTGCTGAGTGCAGTAGTATCTGGGGAATGCCTAGTTTTTATTGGGTTTTCGTGTATCCAAAATCACGGTGGAAAGGTAATACGTCTGGCCCATTCACTGTGAGCAGTGATTTATCATAGCAAACACGCTTCTTATAAATAGTCTCGCATTTTCTATGCAAATTTCTCCTTACCCGTCCCCAAATTCCTCTGACTAAAATGCCCGAATCATCCACAAATCCCATCTCGCTTGTACCCGAAGAATACAGCAATGACTGGAACCACGTCCAACTCGCCACAAGGTATATCGTTCTCCGCGACGAATACCTTGCCGTTCGCACCCTGTTGGATGGCGCCATCTATGCTCGCCCCTTTGAGCGCGAACGCACCATACACAATCTACAAAATATGCGTCTATCGCTAGAAAATGAGATGCAGCAGCTACGCACTCAGAATCTACAGCTTCATAGGGCATGCCAGAAGAATCGAAATATTAACCGTGAATTACGGCAGCAGTACGTGGAAACACAGGAAACTCTCAACATAGTTCTGCAAGCGCAATTTCAAGGGGATCAGGAGACGCGAGCGCAGCATGCGAAGATTGAGAGACTTCAGGAAGAGAATGAGAGCCTTCGGTGGCACATGGAGATGTTAGTTAAGGCGAGGGATGAAGATGAAGGTAGCCCACCTGGTTTAGTGAACAAGGGTGGGAACTTGCAATCAGGAATGGATGAGAGGGGAAAGACGGCCGAAATTCCAAACGTTCGGGTTGATGAAGTCAAGGCTGAACAGGAGAAGATGACGAAGGCTGAGATATCTGGGGAACAATCGTGTTGGGACGACAACGACGACGACGACTATAATGATGACCATCTTGACGTCTAGCATGAAGATTTTGCATGCTGGAGAAGGTTGAATGGGATGTGAGAAAAACCGAGGAGTCTAAGATTGCCAAACAGGACAGTTGTATGCCACATCATGGAGAGGTTAGCGACGAGCAGAAATTCAAAACTATGTACAAGCATACAATGAACATGTCAACACAAAAGTAGGATATTATTAATATCCATACAACGGCTTCGAGCTCGTTGAGGCTGTTGAACTTGAGCCACTGGAAGGCGGCCGGACCCCATTGATTTCAGCCTTGTCCTTCTTCCCAAGAACGACACGCTCACACCATGAGCACCAGCTCCTAAGCTCCCCCTTGACTTCGCGCTCGAGGTACTGTATTGACTTTTCCTTTTCGTCTTCATAGAGCTTTACGCACTCCCCAACACGGACCTGCTTCTTGTGCTTCATTTTCAGCACCCCGCCAATTCCTTCAATCTCTTGAGTGAGGTAAGATGTTCCCCGCCAGCGGTCAGGTGACTCTGAGGAAGGAGTGTGCGACCTCTCGATAGTATCCAAGAGGTCCTGCTCGCAGGTCTCGTGTTCAACGATTCGTGCGCCTAGACAAGCGCAGCCTCGACCACATTCGACACCTTCATTACCCTCGCCAGCTCCTGTGCCGACTCCACCCAAATAGTGGCTATATCGCGTGCGCCAGCTCCATCCACGAACGTACATGGTGTCTGCGTTTCGCAGGTCCTTGCCACACGGTGCGCAAAACCATACCACATCATCGCAATTGCAAGGGGTGCGCTCAAATGCTGGCGCGGTGAATGCCCGCGGCTGACTACTTTCAAAAAGCACAGGGCGCTGGTCGGGCGACCCAGGTGGCGAGGAGTCGGATGACGAGCGTCTTTTCTGGACAGCCATGAGCATGGGCAACGGCGCCTTGGTACACGTACGGCAGAGCCGACGGTGTCGAGCCCGAAGTGCAGGTGTTGGCGGTGGCTTCATTGTGCAATTCTGAGACAATCATCAGTCCCCGCTTCGTCCTTTACACACTCAGACGTCATACCCGGCAAACAATAGTCCCACAGCGCTGGCACTCTCCTACCATATCGCGAGCACATATCCCAACACGACCGGTAGTTAACCTTGATTCCATTGCCATGCTATACCTTCCTCCCTGGAGTGATGACCCTGGGGTTTCGCCGGGCTCGACATCTTCGTTGACGCAATGCAGCGTATGCTTGACAAGTTGGCTACGGTACTCAAGCAGATTTGCACGAAACTGCCTGCAAGTGCGCGACAGGTCATGAAGCGTGTTGAGGTCGAGCTGGGCGGCGAGTTGGCTTACTATTCTGTGTGGTTAACATGGTTAGCATGCATCATGGCGTGGAGTCGAGTCCATGCTATGGCTAAGGCTCACGGATAGCAGCTCAGGGCAGCGCTGAATCCATTCTTGTTTGGGTTCGGCCTTTCGTCTATCACATTCACTCGCTGCCCACTCTCTGCCGCCGACTCGCTCAAAGAGTGGTGCAATGGCTTAACGTTCAACAAGCCAGACGCGTGAGGGGATTGTAATGAGGGCGCTTCATCGTCTTCCAAATCAACTAGGACAACCATCGTTGGCAGTTAAAAAGACAGCGCGCAGCATCCAAATCACGCAAGGCTTGAAAAGATAAGAATGGAGAGTTTCGTTAACGAAAGAGCGATGTCGCTCTCGTGACGACGTGATGGCACGCTTGACCGTGTTAGTGGGGCGCTTGGCATCTCCGGCTTCCCTCCATCATCCACTTTACGCGTCTTCCTGATTCCTGGTCACGTGAATAAAGCATTTGAAGCACTCGGAATACTATCACAAGAATACAGAACAGGTCTGCCGGATAGGGTAACATATCAAAATGTGTGGATTCTGGGCCAGATACCGACGAATCCTCCTCACGTCAGATTGACTGCAGCTTAGCTCAAGCGACGACAAGACCGAGTAGTAGACTGGTTCCTGGTCGCCGATGCCTCCTTCGCTAGATAAAATATCGGTACCAAGTCTTCCGAGCAGAGGGCTCTAAATTCTTACTGCTGAGCGCATGTGATATGTATGCACGCCACATAAAAATCAGCATGCATGTCACCTTTGCAGAACGCGGTATCTGCAAATGACGCATTCTACTTCGTATCTGATAGTCGATATCTTAGTTCGTGATCGAGGATAACGGAATTCTCTGATCGAGAGATACTGAGCCTACTAGCAAGCAAGCAGGCAGAAGCTAAATCACCTAGGAAATACAGGCAAAGCGATACAAACGCTTGTCTCTCATAGTCATTGCAATAGCCAGAATCTCGTCATGTGAAATCAAACGGCGATATTCCCTTTAGGTGAGCTTGTCTCAATTCAGTGGAGATTTTTGCACACAAAGCCCTTGATCTATTTTGGATTTACTTGTGGGTCGACACGTAATTATACATCTATCCAGCCGGTATTGGATACACCTGCATATCGCACACAGCGCAATCATCTGGTACGTGGCCATAAGCTGACAATGGAAGAATGTACCATACCTTTGTCTAGTCTAGGGAAATCTGACCTTTTCGCGTCCCATGAGTCTTCAGATGTTAGCCATGTTCGGCTCTCCGCGACGCGGGCCGATGAGGGGCTTGCAGCGACCACTGATACCCGCAGAACCACACGGTGAACAAGCAGCCCCAGGCCCGAGCCTCATTCCCCACATGTTGACCATACTGAACCACTTGCGTTGTTTTGCCATATGGGCCCCTCCTTTTTCCGACTTCTATACGTCTAGTGTGTGAACGCCCCCGGACGCTAGCGCTGTAATCCTGGTTCTAACATGCTCCTCGAGCATGGCTTCAGCGGCAATCGTATACACATCTGGTATTGAGTGCAGGGGATTAGAATTTTTATTTAAAAAAGCTCAGGTCCCGACTCCGCTGATGTTCGTTCACATGTCGTGCTCCTTGTCACAACTGTACATATTATTACCCTCTCGACATTGACTTCATTTCAGCATCCTCGAAAAGAATCCAAAGTTTGACAGTAGTCCATAGTCATATCAATCGAGATCATGGCCACTTTTATAATTCGAGATGTCCGTATATTTACCGGTGAAGAGGTGATCGAAGAAGGATACGCCCACGTACAGGATGGCAAGATCAAATCAGTGGGACCCATCGGTAGCATCCCCCAAGAATCAATGAAAACATATTCAAAACCAGGGCACACCCTTCTTCCCGGTCTGATCGACTGCCATATTCATGCCGACAGAGCCGACCCCGTAGCTCTTCCGCAATCCCTACGATTCGGGGTCACCACTGTGTGCGAGATGCACAACGAACTCGAAAACGTCCTAAAACTCCGCAAGCAAACCCTCGAACCTGACACGGCATCCTACAAAACTGCAGGTCAAGCTGCAACAATCGAAAACGGCTGGCCCATCCCCGTCATCACCGCGCACGACAAAAGCGAAGAAACCGCCGCCGCAATTGCGCGCTGGCCAAAACTCACCGACCACACCAGCGTAACCAACTACCTCGACTGGACCACCAAGGAAATGCAACCAGACTACATCAAGCTCATGCACGAAAGCGGTACAATCATGAGCCAAAACTACGCTTACCCCTCCATCTCCCTCCAACGTACCATCATCACCGAAGCCCGCGCCCGTGGCTACCTAACCGTCGCCCACGCAACCTGTCTGCAAGACACCCTCGATGTCCTCAACGCAGGCGTAAATGGGCTCACCCACACTTTCTGCGATCATCCCCCCACTCAGGAACTCATCGATGCGTATAAAAAGAATAACGCATGGGTCAACCCGACACTAGCGACACTGGGCAGCTTGACAACCGAAGGCGTAGATCTACAGCACAAATTTGCGCATGATCCGCGGGTTAAAGGTTTGATTGGGGAGGATCGAGTGGGAAATATGTGCCGGTGTATGGGGTTTGCGGATAAGGGCAAGGTGGAGTTTGCGTATCAGGGGGTTAAGGCGTTGAAGGATGCGGGGATTGATATTTTGTGGTAAGTGCTCATTCTCCTCCCACAAAAAGCAATATTACTGGGAATATAGCTAACGGCGAATAGCGGAAGCGACGCAGCGGGTCCTGCAGTCGGCACGGCGTTTGGTCTGACCATGCATCATGAGCTTCATCTATTCGTCCACAAGGTGGATATGACACCCATGGAGGCATTGCGCTCGGCTACGAGCTTGGTTGCGAAGCGCTTCAAGTTTGAAGATCGAGGAAGGTTGGAGGAGGGATTGAATGCGGATATGCTGCTTGTTGAGGGGAATCCGCTTGAGGATATTGATGCGACGTTAAATATTCGGGGTGTGTGGCGCGAGGGGAAGGGATGCAGTGTGTATGCTGAGAAATTGTAGTAGCTTTTAGAAAGAACATTAGGATGGAGAGAGAAGTAGAAGAGAAAATACGGAAAAAAATCAACATTCGTCAAACTAAGCAATGTGGACTACTATATATAGTGTGTGCAATAATTGAGCTAATATGATACTATCTGCTTCTTACATTACTACCTTGGGAAGAGGAGGGCATACCGCCGCCACAATGATTGGAACTGTTAAAGTCGCCGCCGTTTACGAAAACACAACTTCACTTGATAATCTTCGTCTGACCCGACCTGATACTCCTGGGTCTGGCTTTATTACCATTGGCATAGTGAGGAAAATGCTGAGCAACGAAGCTTGAGTATGGCAAGTGACAAACGAAAGGTACGTAAAGCTGTAACATCAGATAGTAGAAGGATCTCTTCTATTACCGAATACTCGTTGAGTCTCGCCCTTTCCCGAAATCAATTGACCCACGTGTGGGAGACTTGAGGTGGAATTCTTTTATTTCATTATATTTTCAACTTAAGTAATTCTCGATAATTTCAGCATTCCAACACTCGAGGAAGAATGACGAACGACGAACCGACTTGACCAACTGGCAATCTACCCTCTCAGACTCAGAATAAACAAATCAACTCTAAAATGCAACTCACCGACACGTCTTTCTAATTCTCTCCATCTATCCCATTGTGATCAGAGTGAATGCAACTTACGTTTGGAACTAACCTCCCCCGCTCCACCTCGCCACCCACTACCTCAATTGCCAAGGATAACGCCAAGGACGACATTTTCGTTTCGCGATGCGGCCAATACAGCACGGCTCCGCTTCACCCGGTCACGCCGGGCCATACCCGAGAGGCACGTGAAGTGGAAGAGGTTTGCCCCACTATTATTGCCTTGTTTTTCAGACACCACTTCTCCCAGACCAGGACCACACTTGAATCAGATTTGACACTCATCATCAACAACTTCGAACACACATATTGCTTTCTTTTGACGCAACGTCGCGCTTCCAACGTCACCCCGCCTTCTGTTTCACCAATTCCGTCACGTCAATTCTACTGCCAATTGCGGCCGAACTGGGAGGAGAAGCCAGTTCCACCCCCCATTACTGAGCTCCATGTATTCCACGCTTTACGATCATCTTACATTTGTCCACAGCCTAGACTGTAGGACAAAAGCTCGCAGACGCATAAACTAGTATGCCATCTTTGCATGAGTGCACAATGATTTTCGCTGAGTCGTCTTTGCAGGCTACATAGAGCTGCGACTCTATATTGGTTTGCATAGTCGGCTGCTCTAGTCGACTTTAACTGGTTATTGTGGTGCCGCCTTTTCGCAGCAACATCACCCCGCTATGGGTACTGACCCGGGGCCAACTGCCAGTGCTGCCTCAAGCTTTCCACTATCGGCAACGAATCCTTCTTCTGAAGCAACCAAAAAGAGCAGCATCGGCGTCCAAGCGGCTAACAATGCCAAGTCGAGTCGTCGTCCACTGCCACGGCAAGTGTCAACTGTCAAGGCAGCCGACGTGCGCGCAAGATTTCGGGAAGATGTACATGGCCATCATGAGCATACCATTCATAGTTACGCGAACCGTGGAAAGTCTTTCAAGATGGTTCGCCATTTCAAAGAGCAGCAGATACGTCACGTAGCATCCAACTGGCTCAAAAGGCTGCGAAAGGAAACGGCAGATCCCACCGTTGCGCAAAATATGTCCGATCCGGCTCAAGTCTTCGCCAGTAAATACAGTAAATGCGGCGATGTGCTTGGATGGGGTGCCTTTGGTACGGTCCGTGTTTGCTACAAGATCGACGAGAAGAATCCGCGTAGCAAGCAAGTCTTTGCAGTAAAAGAGCACAAGCAGCTTGAAGGGGAATCAGATGATAAGTACCACAAGCGCGTAGTTTCAGAAGTCTGCATCTCATCGTCGCTACATCATCAAAATATTCTTGCTACTTTGGATCTTTTGCAGGACGACAAGGGCATGGAATGCCAGATTATGGAGTACTTTCCTGGGGAGGACTTGCATTCAGTTATACTGCATGCCGGTGCACTCGAAGAAACAGAAGCCGATTGTTTCTTTAAGCAGTTGATACAAGGACTGGTGTATATGCATGAGATGGGCGTGGCGCATCGCGACCTCAAGCCCGAGAACGTACTCCTCACTACGACTGGATTAGTCAAGATCATCGATTTTGGGAATGCCGAATGTTTCCGTACAGCCTGGGAGACAGAACCACGCATGAGTGCTGGAATCTGCGGCTCTTTGCCATATACTGCTCCAGAAGAGTTTACGCTCAAGGAATTCGACCCCCGCCCTCTAGACGTATGGGCTTGCGGTATAATCTACATGGCCATGCGAACTGGGGAGCATCCATGGCGCGCTGCACGGCCGGACGAAGATGTAAAATATCAGCAATATGTCGAAAGGCGCAAGACAGAAGCTGGTTACGAGCCGATCGAGTGTCTGAGACGGGTAAGTTTCCGACAAGTTTCAACGTATTGCTCGCTGACTTAAGCTAAGCGTCAATGTCGAAATGTCGTGTACTCTATCCTAGAACCTACTCCTATACGCCGTTTGACAGCCCACCAAGTTCGATCGTCTGAATGGGTTCAACAGATTCCGCTTTGCTGTGCAGACACGGCGGACGACTAAATGCCGACAAAGCTAATTTGTTGCTGTCGCTTTGACCCGTTTATGGTTTTTTTTCGAATCGTCTAAACCAAATTGAACCAATGCTTGGAATTTTGTTAGTCATTTTCAAGGCTATACTCAATAACATTATCTTACCTATACACTCATTTGTTGATTAAGCTGAGGCAACTGTTTGTAAACATCCCGCCAATCCTAATAGAGAATTCTAAAATACAAATCATGAAAGAAGAGCTTGCTCACAATTATTCATGATGAATACTCAATTCAAAGTGAATCTATAGTCCAAAAAAACAAACATGATAAACTATCCACCAAGTGTAGAATGAAGTGGGCAATTACTTTGCTCACTATGTCCTTCAAACATTACCTGCTCAGCAGTCAATCCCAAAGAATCACAATTTTAGTAACCTTACCTTCGCAATCCTCTATCCCACTAGCAATCTAGCAGATGTCAACGCATACTTCTTTGGTGTCAGCGTATCCATGGAGTCAACTCTCAACATGTGCGCAACTCGACATTGCTTCTCCCCTTCCATTTAAATCTCGCCTGACAAGCGTGTTTAACGTTGACGCGGGCTTGCTGCCGAATCATTTACTGAGTAAATAGTCGAAAACATTGAGTTATGTTGTCAAATGAGGTAGATTGTATATGAAGACAATTTGATTCAATTAGGATACTAAAACAAAAGTCAAGATTTTCTTTGCTTAACATTGGAGTTGTGCTGTGTAGTGCAATCTAGCTTAGTGTCAACTCCAGGGACAATTAAGTTGCTTCTATGAAGCCGAAGTACGAGGATGACTTATCGAGTCTTCTCGTTATGGAGGTCGATGAATTTCCCGTGTGCTTCTAGCCTGTCGTGTGTTCCGATACCATTATTTCCACCGTGATCATGTTGCCCGCGCAAATAGCCCAAACTATCCTGTACGCTTCCCAGGTGTCACCGTGACACCGTCCACCGCACGTTCAGGAGGTCTCAGATTTGTGTTCTTGAACTTTCTTGCGGGCAATTTCCGTTCGAAGAGTTCATCTAGTTCCCCAAATGTCCTATTTTTCGGTTCTGGGAGCCGGAACCAGCTCCATGCGATGCCGATGATGCTTGTGCCAGCCCAGAAGAAGCCGGTTAGTGCACCCCAACCCCACGATGTGGGATTGAGCATGTGCGGTGTGATGATGTTGGCAACGATGCCGGAGATGTTGTAGCAGTTGCGTGCAAGCACGATAGTCTTGCTGCGTAATCGTGTAGAGGGAATCTCCGATACAAGAGCGTAGCATATAGGCCCGATTGTTGCATCGTATATGAGAGTGAAGGCTAGCAATAGCGTAGCGATGGCCCAATTGAGTGCGTTAGGCGCGACCTGAGATGAGCTGATGGTGGTAGTGGGACTAGCAATAGTGACGGTGCGGCGCCCAGGTATACAGGCCAAGATGCCGATGAACAAGACAAAGGCAAATGTCAATACCTGGCCGAAAAGGTAGAGGCTACGACGCCCATAGAGGACCATCAGAACCCAGGATACGACAACACCGAGAAGGCCAAGCGCAAATTGGCCCAGGGATAGGCTGAAAGCATGCGAAGAGGCGAGACCGGCTTGTTCATCTATAACATGTGAGTCAACAAGAACATATCACTTGAGCGGGCCCAACTTACAAAAATATGTTGAGAATCCCATGAACGAACCACCGCATAGTGTTTGAACCATCCAAACCATACACGTAATTTCTGTTCGTCGTCTGTCAACCCCTTTGAAGCAGTCTTTGTAGTTCGTCCCGCTCTGCATCAGCAGTTCCTTTTGGTTCGTCTGTACCATTGCATACATTGTAGCGTCTAGGCCAGCATCGAATTCGTCATCCGAGACGTGCTTGGGTTTGGAGCGTAAGCGGCGAAGGGATTCCTTTGCATCAGCGAAATTGCTTTTCCTGATGAGCCACCATGGAGACTCTGGTGCAAAGTATACGAAGCCGAGTATAGGTACGGGGAAAATCCATTGGAGTGCAAATGGTGTGCGGTATGACCATGATGAAGTATTAGTGATCATGCAGCGCAACACAATGGAAGCGATAAGTTGTCCGAGTACCCAGCATGCATTGACATATCTGTATTATTTTCAGGTCCTTGACAATAATCGTAGGAGAAGTAGCAAAGACGTACGTTGTTAAGTAAGCCCTGAGAGCTACGGGACAAACATCGGCTGCGTAGACAGTAGAGATGCATTGGAACATTCCCCAAGGCATCCCCAACATTAATTGGCCAACCAGCAGCACCACCTTGGTTGTTGCGAAGAACGGTATGAATATGAAGAGAGCCATCGCGGTCAGTCCAACCATGAGAGCGCGCCGGTATCCAATCCACTCGGCTATAATGCCTGTAGCGAAGAGCCCTATAATCTGACCTACGAGACCCCCATTGACGAATCCGCTTTGCCAATCAGGGTGGATCTCATAGTCCCCATTTGGTTGCAAGCTGCCAAATTTCTTTTTGAAAGGGCCCATGGCGAACAAGTTGGGTACTAGAATTGTGGAGTAGCCTTCCATGATGAGGGTCATTGACAATAACACTGACCATAGGATGGCTTTTGGGTAAAGCTTTACACCCTGTATGAGTGTCATTGAGCATTCAGCATCATTGACCGCATCTATTGTACGGTTGGAGTGGCCAGTAATGGGATGTAATGACTCTGATATCGAAATTGTCGGTTGAGAAGATGAAGTGTTTGCGGTACTGGCCGAACTTGATGAGTTCCTGATGTGTAGATCCACGGGCTGCTGGTCAGAGTACGCGGCTTCATGTGCTGATTTTGTATCAAGAGATGACATGATATTATCGGTTTGTAAAAGAGATAGAAAAATGGTCTTGAATATGTGTGGTAAGAGTGTGAAACCTGAGGGAAGTCAGAAGATGGAATTGAGGCAGATCTGGGTGCCGCCCCGCACATAAAGAGTCCGGTTGTCGTAAACAAGACGCAGAAAGGTTTAGCCATCAGATAACATAAGCAGGATTGTATAAAGTTTAAACGAAATGCCAATGGTGTCCGGCATGGACAATCGTATGGTACGAAGCGTTGAGTGCGGGCTTCGTTAGATGGCGCATGAAACTAGTACGCGTCTGGGTATGGGGTACATGAATAGCTTTATACATGCGGACATCATTGACTCAGCTGTTAGTCAAGCGTGGAGACAGCGAATAAAATCCAAGAGCGCCATAGTTTCGATAGTTTGTGGCAGCTCCGCATAGACCCAGAGAATGATTCGGGGTGCATGGCGAACCTGAACCAACTTGGGGAACTCAAGCTTTAACCGCAGCGAGTGAAAAATGGTTGCTGGAGTACGGGACTGCAGTACCGTTGGTGGACCGACTTAGAGAACGACAGACTTACTTGTGGGTTACTATCGTTGAGATCATCCGGGTCCACATTTTCGGTTCGGCCCGCTGAGTAGTCCTATGTACTGTCCACGCGCGCTGTCCCTTACGTCACGACTGGTAGAGTTGAAGCAAATGCCAAAATGCTATCATCTCATAGATCATCGTACGGCATCCTTTTTACTAATGCAAAGTGCTGTATACATTGAGTAGGAGTAGTCATATAAGAGTGCGCTGAACATTGATGCGAGGCGATTCACACAACGAAGTTCGACGTCCGGATCTGATTTATGGTTCCCGTATCACATGTCTATTCATCTAGCATTTAAATGGATCTACCAGGCACACTACTGCTTCGCAGCAGCAGCTTCCTTCTCTTTCTTCTTTCGCTCAACCTCGGCCATCTTGGCAGCTTTCTTCATGGCATTCTTGGTCATTGGCTTGCCATCGGCATCTAACATCGGACCCCCTTCAGTATCTTCTTTTGGTTGCTCCAGCTTTGGCTTGGTGGGTTTCGGGTTACCCCTCCATTCTAGCTTCCTTGGGCGGAGGAATTCGTCTAGAATCTCATCTGTGACCTTTGTCCTTGCTTCTTGGAACCTCTTGGTATATGCTGTCATAGTTTCAATGCATTCTTTCTTCATCTCGCCAGTTAGCAGCTCGCCCTTGCGGTAATCTTCGGCGAGCTTCTTGAGCTTCTCGTCGTCATCCTCAAAATAAGCGATGTATTGGTAGGGTACGTCAATGTCGGGGTTTCCTCCCTTCTCACGATGAAGCTCAAGTGTTTCCTGACCGCCCGAGAATGCTTTGGTGTTGATCTTGTTTTTCACTTGCTTTGCAGTATCGCTCATAAAGATAGCTGAATTGGCATTGGAAGCGCTCATTTTACCGCCAGCGCCTTGTAGTGCTGTGAGAAACTTGGAGTGGATAAGCGCAGGCTTTGGTGAAGGATTATCCATGCGATTGCAGTTCTCGCGGACGAGACGAAAGTAAGGGTCCTGATCAATGGCGCAGGGAATGAGACAAGGCGTCGCAGCGAGCTTCTTCGATCGACGGTAGGTCTTGTAATCTTCACCCCAGATGAAGGGGTATGACGAGGCAAATGCAGCTACACATTGCTTGGCAGCGAATGCGTTACTGCCGATATTTGTAGAGCCGTGGAAGCCGAATGCGCCACGGACCTGGTTGTTGGTGATGAGCTTTTCAAACTCGGTCGCGTTCAGGTTGAAATGTCTGTTGTATCCCGATGTGAAGAACTCCGAGTCGATGTACATGAAAGTTTTCTTTACATCAAAGCCAATGGAAATGATGTCTTTTGCATTTTGCCGAGCAAACTCGTAAACTTCCTCTTGCTTCAGTTTTTCCTTGAACAAGAACTTTTCGTCGTCGGTCAACATAATGACCAACGGTACGTCGAAGACATCTTGTAGCCACTTGGTGAACTCGAAGGGGATGGTATGACCAATGTGCATGGCATCGCTGCTAGGTCCACGGCCAGTGTATAGAAGAAAGTCCTCGCCACGCTCGTAAGTGTCAAGAATCAAGTCCAGGTCTCGGTGAGAGAAGAACAGCCCGCGCCGCAACCAGCGATGTGGCTTGTGGCCGGTCACGCGCTCGAATCGTTCAAGGAGCGGTTGGTCTATGAGCTTTGTTGCCCACTGCTCTGAGATCTTGACATAGTCAAATTCCTTGACATTTCCATCCTCGTCTACTGCAGCTTGCACATCCCACGGGTTGATTTCCTGTTCGGTGGCTTTGGAAACAGGTTGCGTGGCCGTGTCAGAGATGGACAGGGCGGCTACTGCCGGCGGCTCGGGCTCAGTCATTATGGCGATGAGATTGGATGTGTGTGTCGATACGGAATCTCAGCGGATACAGATGTGGAGGAGTCGCGATCAAGAAGACGGGCTATGATTCATCACGCGTTGACTCAATGGCCAATTAATTAAAATGGCACCACCCCGCTTCAATTTGGTGTTGCCGCACCGCCTCAGCTGCCCCGCACCGCGCCACACTTCAGCCACAATATCGGGGGTGGGCAAGTCGCAGCGCCGACGAACGACCGAGCGACCGAGAGGCAAAACTGATCGTACGCAGAGCTCCAGATGGTTCTGCCGCTTGTCGTCACACCACCGTCTTCACACCATCCCCGCTCGACATCTCCCCTGCAACGGCCTTCCCAATTGTCCATTCGCAATTGGATGCTGCTGACCATGCGACTTCGTTACCTGAGATAGATCACCGTCCGCTACAGGTTCATCTAACCTTCTACCTACCAACTGCTCCACCCGCCCTCTGCCTCTCCACATACACCTGGACAGGAAGCTCTAAAGCACCAATAAGACGCCAAAATGGTCAAATTCTACTCTTCCAACGAAACTTACTCGTACCCTTTCTCGGCTGTCTCACTTGCCTACTTCCTGCGCTATCCAAACCCTTACTCCACTCACGTGCTCTCCACCGACACCATCGCCCGCCACTATGACCCCGAGACCCAGCGCCTGACTACCATACGCCTACACCTCAAGCGCTCTAAACTCCCCTCTGCTGTGCTCAAGCTCGTCCCTCGGTCTCTGCTTGGTGCATCGGCCGGCGGCGAATCGCAGTCTTACATTCTTGAGAAGTCGGTGGTGGATATCAAGGAGGGATGGATGGACACTGAGTCCCGCAATCTGGAGTGGACAGGAGTTTTATCAGTCATTGAAAGGCAGAAGTTCACTCGTCCTTCTTCGCTGGCGCCTGAGCACACGAGAGTTCGGCAGGGCACGGAAAGCCCCGCTCTACGCCACGGCTTCATCAACTTCAACAACAAGGGCAATGGCGTCAAGGTGGAAGACAATGGCGAGACAACAGATGTAACAAGCTCGGTCACACTGCACAGTCACATTGGCGAGACGTGGAAGAAGAAGCGCGAGGCAGCTAGAGAGGGGATTGTGGAAGAGGAACAGCCTCAAAAGATGGGCCTTTTGCGAAGCTGGGGCACCGCAGCTCTACAACGCAACATTGAAAAGATTGGTCTCTCGCGTGCACAGCGAAGCCAGCCAAATGCGCGCGAGGGCATGAAGGTTGTGCTCGAACGCATGCGCGAAGGTGGCTTGGTCGGCGTACTCGAGGGCATGCGACGGGACCGCGAAGCAATTATGGCAGGGCAGACATTGACCGCGCCGCGTGCAGCAGAGACTGACGAATAACTTCGTCGGCGTCACACGCCAATGATGTACGGCGTGATCTTTTGTGTGGAAAACAACGATTTTATGGTTTTGTATGAATATCAAGCGACGGCGTTACGGTCTCTCCCCCTTTTTCGCTCTGCCATTATATCTCTTCACTCTCTGGGTTTGGGGCTGGTTTGGATTTGAACTTTTGATTCTGGCGGTGCTGATTTGGTATCGGCAGTCTTGGAAAAGTTGACTTGAAGACAATGACGTCGGATTGGTGGACGGTTCTGTATTAAATGACAATTATTAACGGCCTAGGCTCTGTTGAAGTCGCGGTGGCGTAGGGACGCAGACGTGTTGGCGTTGGCGTCGATGCGCCGTGTATTAAAAGCATTTTCCAAAGGCTCTTTTTCTCTTCTTCATTCTTTTGAAGTTGATGTTGTGAGAAACCCCCAGTAAACAATTCTCATCATCTCAACAATACATCTTATGCGAAGAGCACCCGCGTAAATCAACAAACAAGATCGACGGCGAAATCTTATCGTACGCCTGTGCCTGCGGAGCCGTCCGACAAGTCTCCAGCTGCGCCTGTCTCAACTTCGCTCGCCGCATCGCGGCCGTCGAATCCGTCTCCTTCTCCGTCGAGTGGCGCTCATACGTCGATGTCGTCGAGCAAGTTGAGCTAGCAGACGTAGGATACGGACTGCTGGTACTATGTATATCGCATAGCTCATACGTATCCTGTTCAGCACACGGTGATACGCCAGTTGTCTGCTGCGCAAACATTTTACGGGGGAAGTGGACGAAGGCCGGGAGGTGGAACATTGGAGATTTGTCCATATTGTTGATGACTTCTTTTCAGAAACTGGCTGACAGTAGTAAGGTTTTATTTTTACTCAAACCACGGCTATATGCAGTCTTTAACTATGTCAGATCGCCATGACAACTGTGGCCTCTTTCTGCATCTTGGCTACATTTTCCCAGTTTCCTGTTCGTCGTCTGTCCTGCTACCCAATTTCTTCTCTCGAAAAAATAAAATAAAACTGCGCTTGCAACCAGGGAAAAAAGCCACCGTATTGCTTGGGCACCCACTTTGTGGCACGGACATCATGTTACATGAAGTGCTTTTGCCATCCAACCCACCGTTTTCACTACGTCGTACAGGGGCGTTTCTGGACGACTTTACGGGAGCAGGTAACGCGGACGCTATCAAGTTGCGGAGCCTTTATTCGATTGGGATTGTGTACCAGGTGGAAGGGGTGGAGAGGAAGTAGGCTAGTGAAAAGTGGGATAGCGAGATGAGGTTGTGTATGCATTTTTGTAGCTAGTCCTAGTAGAGTTTTTTATTTTAGGCTCAAAAACTGGTGATCGATTAAATGAGTTTAAGGACGTTCAGATGTAAATTACAATTGCCAGATAAGGACGACAATGATGATTGACGAGGCTAAGCAAAAGATAAACTGTATATCGGTATTCACTCCGGGTGTCATCTCCTGTCATCTGTCACTTGTCACTTTTCTCAATGCACCTCTCCGTCTCCACGCGAACACTCCCGTATTTTCTAGACACAACATGTACCTTCTCCCCTTTTCCCACGTACATATACCTTTTCCTCGAGTCTGCACCGTACCACCCGCGGCCCGGATCCGATCGATCCATGCCCACCTGTTACACCGAAAAAAAACGCCATCGATTAAGACTTAGGCTTGGACTTGGAGCGTTACACATGACTACTTTGGTGTCGTTCTCGGTAGCTTGGGGAAATGGCGGGAGTGGGGACGCGAGGATGGACTAGATGTGTGGGCGACAAGTGGTACAGTGGGATTTCCCGTAGGGAGGGATTCGGACCGGGTAGAGGGTACACTTGCAGGACGTGTGGAGGGGGGCGCAAATGGTGCTGCAGTTGGCGCCCAGTGAATTTGGCGGGTGCTAGTTTAGATGGGCTTGTGAAGAGTGACGTTGCATGGTGAGTAGAGAAAAGCAAGACAGAGGGTTTGATTGCCTCGTTGCAGATGTGGAAATGCGGATTGAATGACGTCGGGGATGATGCTTGTGTTTCTTCTGGCAAGCCTGCTTCGTCATTGTGAACTTCGATATAGGAGAGGGTGGCTCTGGACGACGAAGCACGATAGAATGAACGCCAACGTCAGGATGACGTTCTATCCAAGACTCTCAATACTAATCTAATTAATGCAGTATTGGGAAAATAGTTTGAGGTTTTCACCACTTGTTTTCTTCAGTACTTTGAAAGAACACTGTCACTTTATTCGACAGAATCTCGATCCGTCGCGATCCTATTTCAAGTATTTCTTGGTATAAGCTTATTGTATGTAGGTCCACCACCGGGTTTAACAGCACTGTAATATCGAAAGATTTCCTTTTAGCGTCTTGCTGAACACAAGCAATGACCTCTCCTTATGCATTGCCCCACGCTAGCCCGCTTTGTATCTTAGTAGGTCTATCTAGGGACTCGTTTCCGCGATGTTTTAATCTTAGGCTAACTTCTTGTAGTAAATGCATGCGACTCCATCTAAGTAGATATTTATGGGGTAGTATATGTTTCAGCCGCACTCTAATGCAACAAGGTTTACATTGCGTACACAATATGGGTTGAGCCGTTAGAGCTTCTGCTGATTTTTTGCATCTTGTATCTTGCGAGTTCCCCGGAGCAATGTGCACAATGCGTATTGGTGTGTGGAATATATAAATCAGTTTGTAGGTACCTCTTTCTGAATCCTTGGATCTCTGAGGTGCTCTGAACAAGACAGAAAACAAATATTACATTCTTAAATATCCTTGTCTTCCGTCGCAAATATGAAGCTCTGTTTTGCTCTGCCACTTGCATTTGCTGCACTTGCGTTCAGTGCTCCACAACGAACACTTTTTCAAGCTCCAGCACGAACCATTTTTATACCCCGTGCTGCACAGCAAACCGGTAGTATAGCCGCTCCTCTAGAACGAATCGCTGCTGCAGCCCGAGCTGAAGAAGAGGAGAAATAGCTTCTTATGTGCAACTCGAACCGTCCCGAGATTCTCTAGGTAAGTTCCCATAAGAATGCCATCGAATAACTGGAGCTTTTCTAATCCCAATGTAGTGTTGCTACATGGTTCCCAGACATCAGTACGGTCAACCAAACTGTTAAAGTGAGAAATTTATTGATAATTGACCTCGACATCAAGTTGAGGATCAGTTGAAAACCCACGTCACGGAGGGCACAGGGAGTCGACAATGCAGACTGCATGCAATATGATGGTGGTGGTCTTCAATTGTAATGTAGAATATTGTTAAATTGTATTATGATTCATTGATTTCTGAGGGAAGACTGATAAACTATGTGAAAATGATCAAGTTCGAGTGAAACTTGAGTGTGGAAAAGAAAGCAAGAACCAGTGCATGCAACCAATTTTTCATGAGAAAAAACCACAAAATGTATCAGCAAGGTTGTATGCCAACCTTGAGTCGAGGAGCGAACAAAAGCGACAGGCGTGCTTTGCTCGGCAATCGTTTCCAAGTAAATTCATCCTCACCTCCAACCCCAGCTAGACGATCAGTTATCAAGGGCAGCCATCGGGGAAACAGTGCGAGCTCTGTCGTCCACATGCTTAATGGTATCATGGTTCAGCAGCCCTTCCGCAACTTGCTCGTGATATTCCACCATTGCTGCGATGATCTGCAAAGCCACACTGTGGCTTACCACATCATTGATTTCAGCCCATAGCTCTCCATCGAGGTTGCTGGCCAGAGTGTTGACGGCCATCTCTCGAAGTCTCTTTGGTGCGTCATGATCCTTGAATGCATGCTTGAATACTACTTCCAAGACGCGATCACCTGGACCGAGCCCATATCCCAGCAAGGTTTTGAGCGATGTGCCGTTGGCCAGAGCGTCTTGGATGCTGTCGTTGGCGGCGTTGTACAGCTTGGAGTGACAAAACTCACTCAGTGCCGTAACACCCAATCGTGTGGCGAGCTGTAACGTGTTGTAGAGCTGCTGTGGATCTTCGCAGTCCAGTTTTCCTTGATAGATCCAATCCATTACTAACTGAAAAGTATCCGGCTCAGCGTCTGGTATAAGAATCCTTTTCTGAGCTGCAGCTCGCATAACATCATGTTTGGCTATATCAATCTCCTTCTTGTTGATCCGGTGAATTGCAGAGAACAATTTCTCCGTGATTGTGTGCAAACCAAAGGCATTGATGTAGGTTAGACGTACTTTTGTATTCACTTCTCGAATGGCGTCTTGTAGCATGCGTGCCTTGATACGCTTCGACTGGACCTCTGCTTTCGTTGCATCGTCTATCATTCTCTTGATAGCCGATCCATAGCCAGGCATGGGGAACCTCTCGTATGCGCGGATAATCAGAGGCAGTGCCTACAGGTATGTTAATATGGTGTCTCCATATTAATGCCGGATCGAACAGACCATCTGTAATAATAATAATATCTACAGATTCCGTTCTTTCCAAGTTGTCACAGGAAGCTTACCTTCTCTTCGTGATCGTCAGCTGCAAATTCCTCTGCAGTGACCTCTGGGAAGACATGTGCTGCGATCTGGTCACGAAGGTGATCGGTCTGCTCAAACTGCTTTCTAAGATTCTTGGCCTTGGTGAAGCGCTCCTCGAGAAGTTTGCTATGGCAACACAGGAGCTCTTCATGAATAGTAAGCTTGATAGAGAGATCTGGACCACACTCAATCTCGACGGGAGTCTGCATCAGCATCCTAGAAGCAGTGTTAGTCACTGAGCATTAAAGCAAAATTAGAAACTCACTGGTGCGGCTTGAATGGCTTTAACTGGGGGCTAGGTGACGAGATAACGATTGGGTTAGAGGTCTCGCCGATGCTGGCGCGCCTCTCCGAAGAAGCGGGAGGTGTAGTATAAGACGTAGTCATGGTGTCTTGGCCGATTGAGCGACCTTTGGTAGATGTTGGAGGAGAAGAAAAGGGAATTAAAGACCTAAGTGAGATTTATATAGGCAGTATCGGTGGTCTGTATCTGACATTGTCCTTCACTTGGAGAAACAAAGACACAAGGTGGTTGGTGGGATAGGGTTGCAGAGGTGAGAGAGAGAGGCAAACGCCACTGATACGGTGAATTTTGGTGTAGAAACAGATTTGTATTAGGCTTCCAACTGAACTCGTCCATAAGCTATCTAAATTTAACATAGCAATATGATGAAAGGCGCTGGAAATGTCATAAACAGTCCAGTGAATGTCAGTGTGTAGTAAAGGTAGTTCATGGTAGTTGTACAGGGTGAAGTTGTTAGAGCGAAATGTGAAATTCACAGATGGCACGGAAATTATGGATTCAGGGCGGTGCTACGTGGGTGGAATGTAAAGTATAGGGGCATGAGGGAGGAGAGCAATGACGATGTTGAGGAGCGGTGCACGGGCGCTGCCCCGCCGCGATGGTGTTTGGTGAGTGTCGACACCACAACCAGACAACGCGCCACCATGGCCAAACTCCACCGTGAGCGCGTCGAACACGCGTTGAACGAATTACTGGTGCGCATAGTACCCGAGGATCCCAAAGATGATGAAGAGGCCGCCAACCAGCGCTTCGAAGACGCGTTTGAGTTTGCCATTGACGAACTCACGTCGGCAGGAGATCCCGCCCTGGTCCCAGATGTCCACCATATCGCTAGCCTGATGGACCGCAAGGGTGAGTGACTATGTTGCGCGTTGTGTGTTTTATATATGAAAAGAATACATCATTAACATATAACAGTCTCGGGCCCACGAAACGATCAGCACAAGAGCGCCCGTCTGCACAATCTGCTCTCGCGCCTCGAAACACAGACAGTGCTGGACCAGAAATGGCGAATGCTCTACTTCCTATACAAACTCTCAGATAATGGCGAACCGGTTCCAGATGCGCCTGTGGCCCAGGACCTGCGCAGCTTTCCCCGGGAGCCCACTACGCCTTCCAAGCGCGCCTCTGCCCCAGCATTTCAGGACGCCTTTGCAAAGCCTGGCCTTGCCCAGCTACCCGTCAATGCTGGCTCACCCAAGGCGCCTTCACGTCCGCCAACGATTGCCGAAAAACCAGATAAGAGACGCGAGAGGCGCTCCCAAGACACGACCAAAGAGCAACAGGCAAAAGCAACAAATGCCACAGAAAAGCCAGAATTGGGCCCCTCAGAACCGACCCTATTGCGCGAGCTCCCTTTCACGTTGCAGGGCTACTCGTCTGCTAACTTGACATTCCCTTCTTCGACAGCCCTCAAACTTCCACCGACCCTTCCTGTTCCTATTATCAGCCTCCTGCATACCCTCGCCGAGCCCGCCATTTTGTACAAAGGACTTGCCGAGTTTGTTGATGAGAGCCAGGGTGGCCTAATAGAGCAGAGTTTTCGTGCGGCTTTGGCTAAGGAGCTGAGGGCGTACCTCGGCTTGGTTGCTACGCTCGAAGGCCAGATCAAGAGGGCCTTGGCACAGCTCGGTGAGGGCTCAGCGCACCAGGGCGCCAGCAAGGCCGGAGTCACTCTCAAGCGGTGCGTAATATGGATCAGAGAGCCGACAATGGGCCTGCGACTCATGAGTCTGATGGTGGAAGAATCAAAGAAGAAGAAAGGCGGCGAGCTGATTGCACTCATCCATTCCTTCTCCCTCAACCACGGCGACCCCTACGTCATGAACTTTGCCGAGCGCCTTCTTTCCGACGTTACACGCCCATTCTATGACATGCTCAGGCAGTGGGTCTACGATGGCGAGCTGGCTGATCCATTTGCAGAATTCTTCGTCTCTGAGCAGAGCGAAGACGAGATTCTCGAAGCAAATGGTAATGAGGGCAAGGGCGGCGCCACAAGTGTATGGGAAGACAAGTACAGACTCAACGATAAGATGGTTCCTACTATCGTCACCGAGGACTTTGCAAAAAAGGTGTTCCTTATCGGCAAGACACTCAACTTTATTCGTTATGGCTGTGGAGATGCGGCGTGGGTCGACACTTACTCCAAAAAGGCTTCCAAGGAGCTGCAATATGGCGATACCGCAAACCTGGAGCGATCCATCGGCGACGCCTACAAGACCACCATGGCTCGTCTGATTGACCTCATGGCAAACAAGTTCAAGCTATTTGACCATCTACAAGCACTGAAAAAGTACATGTTGCTTGGTGCTGGTGACTTCATTGCTGTGCTTATGGAATCGCTCTCGTCAAATCTCGATAGACCCGCCAACACCCAGTACCGACACACCCTCACTGCACAGCTCGAACACGCTGTCAGAAACTCCAACGCCCAATTCGACACATCAGACGTTCTTCGCCGACTCGACTCTCGTATGTTGGAGCTGTCGCATGGCGAGATTGGATGGGACGTCTTCACGCTCGAGTATAAGATCGATGCTCCTGTAGATGTCATTGTGACTCCATTTGGGTCCAAGCAATATCTCAAAGTCTTCAACTTCTTATGGAGAGTAAAGCGTGTAGAGTTTGCCCTTGGTTCCACATGGCGTCGCTGCATGACTGGTGCTCGTGGCGTTTTGGGTACCGTATCAGACAAGATGGGCTCTGACTGGAAAAAAGCGCGCTGTGCTATGGCCGAGATGGTCCACTTTGTCAACCAGCTTCAGCACTACATTCTTTTCGAGGTTATTGAGTCTTCATGGATCGATCTGCAAAGAGCACTCAATAAGCCAGAAAGCACACTTGACGATATGATCGAAGCCCACGCAAGGTACCTCGACAACATTACCAGGAAAGGTCTCCTTGGAAGCACTACTACGGATTTTACGGCGCAACTGCATGAGCTGCTGAAGACCATGCTAGCATACAAAGACGCAGTAGATGGTCTATACTCGTGCTCAGTTGCAGAGTTCACTCGAAGACAAGAACATGCTGCCAAGATTGAGACACGAACCGCAGCTGGTAGGTGGGGTCTCTCTGAAAAGGACAACCATGGTAGCTCGACTCCAGACCCTTTTGCACGATCGCGTGCAGCCTCTACCAACCAGGAAACCGACTCACCTTTCCTGCCACCCTTGCTGAAAATGGGTATGACAGGGTCTGTCGAAGATGACGTACTACCAGCACTTCAAAAGCGCTTAAGTCATCTGGCCGAGGACTTCAAGGCCAGAATCAACCTTCTCCTTGGTGATCTGGTGCACTCCCCTGATGGCGAGCTTAAAATGTTGGCTGTCAATATTAATTTCAACGATGTATACAAGGTTGAGCGAAGACGAAGGAAAGGGTCGCAAAAACGCGACAAGGACAAAGAGACGTCCAAAGTTGACACTTCTGCAGCATGAGTGTTGGTGTAGTTTGCGGCGTTTAGCACGACATTGATACCCCATGTGCTTTGCTAGGAACTTAATACGTCTGACATTTTTCCAATTTCAACCTTTTTATTTCCTCTACCGCATTTCACTTCATCGGGTCCAAACTCAGAAAAATATGGGGTACATCATTCCGCATGTTCTCAAACTGACTGAGTCGACTAGCCATGATAAATCATTCGTGATGGTAATGACATCCTATAGGCAATACGTTACAGCAATTCAGCGAAAGCAAAATGCATCTAAAAACAAATATACGTCACGCATTCCCCGAGCTAGTTTTTGATGTAGGGAATGCCTGTCAACTTGAACGTACGCTCATTCATGACCGGCTTGTTCACCGGCTCGAAGCGGTTGTGCGGATCCTCCACTCCATCCCTCGTGGCAACATTGGAACCAGTATGCATCGCATTCGGCCAATGAGTTGTGCCAACCCACCTCTCATACGCATCCTTCTTGCGAATCAAATCCTCCTGTGAAGCATCTGCTACAGGCATATAGCAGGTGTATATCGCAAACCTCGGCTGATGGGTTTTCGAGGCCAGATTGTAATGCGGCGTGCGGCTATCCCAGACAAGCAGATCACCCGGGTCCGCGCAGACTTTGGTCCATGTCAGACCTTTGTCTGCGAGCCACTTCATGCCGTTTTCAGTAAAGCCGAACCATTCTGGTGTCCACGCTGGGATACGTGGCTCGTCTTTCATAGCGGCATGGAACTCCTCAGAGAGCAAGTGGCCGCCTGGACAGACGATAAGACCGCCATCGTCTGGACCGTTGGGGAGCAAGTTGACAAGACCCTGCAAACAGCGGAATCCGGCCTTCTCTGGGTTCTGGTCTTGGTGTGGCCACGGCTTATTGGGGGCAATATCTGTGCGGCCGGGGAAAGTAAAGTTGATTGCATCAAAGGAGACAATGAGATCTTTGTCGTCGTATACTTTCTCAAATGCACTGACAACGCCTGGTTCCCCACGGACGTCCCAAGCAAAGTCCTCATGTGTGACGGCGTAGTGGATGCACATGCCCTTTTCGTTGATGAGCGGTAGCTTGTCCTTGTGTGCTGTGGACAGGTCATTGCGGTCAAATCCGAGGTTACTAATGCAGTTTCATTATTATATGGATGAGCAAAGGAAGCGGATTTCAGACAAGCTTACAAGCCTTCTAGCCATGAGAACATGCGATCTGCGTATTTCAATGCCTTTTCTTGGGGAATAGCTCCTTTGATGACAGCATAGCCGTCGCGTGCGAGGTCATCTCGCCAGTCCCCAAACTTGGCATCTGTGCCATCCATCTTCATGGCCACATTTTGAACACCGCTCAAGGTGAGGGTTGGTGCCTTGGTCGTAGTCGTGATCATGATGAGTTGAGTTGAGAAGAGATACAATGTACCAATGAAGGTTTAATCGTTCCCAGAGTGGTAAGTTCTGATTCTGGTGAATTGTCGCTTAGGTTTGGTCAGTCTTATCGCTTTTATCTTTCAGTTGCAACTATATCACGTTGGCTGTGCATGATGAGGCTCATACGCCATGCCCACAGCTCCACCCCCACATGTTCCGATGGATGATAGTTTGGGATGTCAATCGTTTCGAAGTCCACCCCACCTTTTCCTAACCACGTGCTGATCATGCAAGTCTACTCCAACCTTGTCGATGCTAGAGGCAGCAAATTCTTGGCTTCGCGGTGGAATGTGTGTTTGCCGACACTCGTAATGTGGAGGTCGGCGTACGTATGATCTCTTTGAGCAGCAAGTTCAACTTCATCATGTCAATCCTGCCTTGACCCTTCTTTGTTCACCTGTTTCTGACTTCGCTATCACCCAATTCCATTATGGCTTCACAAACACCTCTTCGAATCGTTATCGTTGGTAGCGGCATCGCAGGATTAGCATCTGCCATTGCCTTACGAGGCCCGAATCGCGAGATCACCATTCTTGAGCAATCACGTCTCTCATCGGAGATTGGCGCAACAATTTCTCTCCAACCAAATGCGACGCGCATTATAAAAGAAACCTGGGGTGTGAGCGACTTGCTGCAAGCTTCGAATGGCATGGTGGATAGTGGATTCCGTATCTTTAATTCGGATGGCAAAATGGTCAATGAAATTCCACTTCTCGTGCAAAAGAAATACGGGGCCGACCGCATCATGTGGCATCGACAAGACTTGCATGCACAACTGACAAAGGTCGTCAAGGATGCCGCAAGAAGTGGGCCGATTCCTACACTACGGACCTCTTCCCGTGTTGTCGACTGCGATTGCGAGGCGGGAACCATCAAATTAGAAGATGGAGAAACCATTCAAGCAGACATCATCATTGGCGCCGACGGCATACACAGCATGTTGCGATCGCTAGTAGCAGGAGAAGAGACCAAGCCACAACCCACAGGCGCATCATGTTATCGACTCATGATGACTTCAGAAGAAGTCCGGCAAAAAGCACCAGAATTCGCAGCACATATAAATCCCTCCGAGCCCTACACATCAATGTTCATGGCCTATAACTGCCGCCTTATCATGGGCCCCGCCCGCAACGGCGAAATCTTCAGCGTCGTCGCTCTCGTCCCCGACGACAAAATGAACGAAGACCCGGACAAAGCGCAATCTTGGGTGACAGAAGGCGACCCCCAAAAAATGCTCGAGACTTTCAAAGACTTCCCAGATTGGACGAAAGACATGCTCAAGCTACCCGACCGCATCGGCCTGTGGCAACTCCGCGACATCGATCCGCTCGATACCTGGGTACGCGGCCGCGTCATCCTCATCGGCGACGCAGCGCACGCGATGCTACCTACGCAAGGTCAAGGTGCGAGCCAGGCGATTGAGGACGCAGAGGCTCTTGGCGCATATCTAAATACTCTACAAGGAGCACCGGCGAAGTCAGAAGAGGTAACAGCCCGCCTGAACCAGGTGTTTGAAGCACGATATGAGCGAGCGAGTTTGATCCAGAAGTTTAGTCGCGATTCGGCGAAGCCGGCGACGGAGAAGGGGGGCATTGAGATTAAAATGCGGCCAGACGAGTTTATGGATTATAATTTTCAGTATAGGGGGGCGGTAGAGTGGCAGAAGTCAAGGGCTGTTAGTTCGAGTACGTAGTAGTTGACACAACGAATGGGCTGTTGGGTTTTCCTCTCCCATACAAAGTTGAGATCATGAGACAGTACCCTTTTTTCCCACATTCCCCGAATTGACTTTGTTGTTGGTCACTGTGCCCGCATGTTCCGTGTCCGACCACCTCATCCGCTAGTCAACTTCCGATGTGGGCGGCTAGCGTATCGGGAGTTGGCTGCTACTTGAATTTGCTCAAGACTTTAACACTAATCATGTCTTTCAAGTATTTTCCCTTGCTCCAGATCAAACAAGCTGAATTCCATTGGTCAGTTCAAATCTACCTCACATCCTCGGCACTGCGAAATGCGGAGTAGTATTTCACGACTCGGGTGCCTATAGTCCGATCTTCACAGTAGTAAGGGAAGCGGTTCTCTCTACAGCCGTGCACTTGCCCGTTCCATGTCGTGGACAAGTCTAGCCCTCTGCCACATGCAGCGGAATGTGGAGAAGTAGTATGTCGTGGCTCCATATTCCTCGGGGACGCCGGTCTCTGTACTCAGCTGCAAGATGTGGCTGGCTAGTTGAAGCATAAGGGCGTGGACACCTGCTACTTCACGGTCTTCGGCTCTATACACTAAGTGATACTCGGAGTTCCGAGTGAGCCACCGATCGCCATGGCCGAACCAAACCCACACGCCTCACTGGACCACAAACTCTCTGCCGAAATCAACTACGCAGAGGACACCACTCCCGACGACAATACCCCCTCACACGTCAAAGGCAATGCCTTCCTCGTCCGCGAAGACGGTCAAATCCGCAAAATCCCTGTTCCCTCTTCCAACCCCAATGATCCCCTCAACTTCTCCAGATGGGAAAAGTACGGCATCATATTTTGTTGCTGCTGGTTCTCCATCATGGGTCTTTCGATCGCCGGCGGCCTTGGTGCGATTCTGAACGTGTTTTTCCAAATGTATGTACCGCAGGGGTATACGGCGGATGAGATTGTGTTTTTGATTACGCTGCCTACACTGTGTATTGGACTTGGTACGTCTCTCCCAGATCTCAAGGCAGTGATTTCAAATTACTGACGTGGGCGGATGGAAAATAGGGAACTACATCATCCTGCCTTTAGCACTAGCATACGGTCGGCGTCCAGTATTTCTCATCTCAATGGTAATATTGCTTGCAGCTACCATTGCCGCCGCTGTGCAAAACAGCTATAACGGGCATCTTGCATCGCGTATCGTGCAGGGTCTAGCAACGGGCTCATCCGAATCGCTTCTCCCACTCATGCTGACCGAAATCACGTTTCTACACGAGCGAGGCCGGATCTTCGGGTTGTACTGGATGGTTCAGAATGCACTAAGCTCCTCCATTAATCTAGCAAGTACGTATCTGAACGAGGAGATGGGATGGCGGTGGTACTACTGGGTGTTCGTCATCACAATCGGGTTTGGACTCGTAGTTGCGTTTTTCCTAGGCTTCGAAACGCAATTTACACGATCGCCGGCTAGCCTGGACGGGCTGCTGATTTTCACGGATGAGTTTGGGGTCACAAAGGTTATCCCGGATGAGGAGGCGCAGGGTTACTTTGCGCAGGTGGGCGATAAGGGGTTGAGCATACCGAGTGCAGATGCGAATGAGGCGGATGTACCACGGAAGACGTACCTTCAGAAGTTGCGTCCTTGGTCCCCGGTTCAGAAACAGCCGGTTAAGATTATGGTCATGACGTATCTGCACATGCTCCAGAGTCTGGCATCCCCAGGTATCCTGTTCGCAATCCTGAGTTCATCGGTTGCGCTTGGCTGCGCCGTCGGCATATCACTGACGTACAATACCGTATTACACGATCACTACGGATGGGATGTGAAGAACATTGGGCTTATCAACGTCGGCGGCGTCATCGGTGCCGTCTTGGGAATGGTGTATTGCACATTCATCGGCGATAAGTTCGTCCTGTACGCCGCCCGACGAAACAAAGGCATTCACAAACCAGAACACCATCTCATTGTTCTCATCCCACCTGGCATCATCGGTGCCGCAATGCTGGTCCTCTATGGCTACACTGCTGGAGGCGGCGCAACTTGGTGGGGTCCGTACATGGCGTGGACACTGTTCCAGTACACGTTTACTGCCGTGCTCATCGTGTCTACGACGTTTGCGTCTGAAGCCGGGGCGCAGCATCCCGGACCTGCGCTAGTAGTTGTTGTGGGGACTAAAAATATTGTTTCCTTTGGCCTTACGTATGGCCTTACGCCCATGGTTGCGAAGCATGGGTATCAGTGGGCATTTGGTGTGTTGGCCGGTATTTACAGTGCCATCTTCTTGCTCGGTATTCCAGTTTATTATCTGAACCCGATATGGCGCGCGAGGAGTAAGAAGAACTAGTCAAATCTTTACTGAGATAAATATTATATTTGATATAGTCAATGCACCAAGTTTCTGCAGCCAACGGAACAACACTATCTTCTACTCGACCACTTTCCCGTAACCAAATCCTCTAACTCCGTTACTCACCCATAAACCCTCTCCCACCTCAACAGTTTCAATACTAACTGGTTCTTCCATGCAGTATCCACTTCCCAGTGCCCATCTCCTACTCGTACCCCTCTGACCTCCCGCACCGACTTTGGCACTCCTCGTCGAATGGCCCCATCGACCAGCAAACGGTTTCCTCAGCTCTCCTTCATCGGCTCCATCATCTTTCAGCGTCTTGCTAGTGAACTCGCCGGATGGCACGCCAACAGGAGGAGTTACCCAGCGGCCACCACGGAAAAGGTAGAGAGACGTAAGAGTACCCTCGGTAAGCTCATTGACTTCGTTGTAGAGCATGACTTCACGGTAAGCGGGACCTGCGGGATTCTCAGGCAGTGCACGCTCGCGGCTTTGGTCGTACATTTCTCGCTTTGTCGTTTTCAAGAGGGTGAAGGGTGAGGATGGGGTGGGTGCAGTGTCTAGCCTGATTGTCCATTCTGGTGGGGGTGGGGGTGTCGATGTTTGGGCTGGGAGTGAATCGTCGGGTCCAAGGGTCAGGGCGCCTCCCGTCAATGGAGATGCTTTGAAGGCTGCTGCAGAAGCGTGTTGCACTTTTGCATTTGGTGGGTCTAGGGATGGAGGATAGAGAGTGGAAAGTGGCACGGTTGGGACGTCTGTGAACTCGACTGTAAGATTTGCTGCTTTATCAAACAATAATCGCAGCTGGGTACCGTTAATATCTTACTTATGTGATCTACTGATATCATACCTTCATCGCTCGGTCCTTTCCAGTCTTTTCTATCTCAGCATTGGTTCTCTTCAACAGCTCTTCATGCAGAGCTTTGCCATCCCCGAGACGTTTCTGGACTTCATCAAAATCAAAGTGCTGTGCTGCTTCGACCATCCGGTCTCGATGATATGCAAGCATATAGAATGGCGATGGGGCAACAAAGTTTAGAATCGAGCGCGAATTCTCCTCGGACTTGAGAAGTAAGGGATCATAACGCAGTGATGTGAAGAGTTGGAATTCGTTTTCGGATGTCATTGTGAAATGAAGATTTGTTACTGGGAACGGTTATTACAATATAGCCGGATTGCTCTATGATTGTTGCGAGGATGCGGAATGTCGAAGATGCGTTGTACACTGTTCAAGGTGGGTCTGAAAGTCAGTCGTCCAATCAGCAGCGAGCGGTATCTCACTAAGTAGCCAGCGTCGGAACAAACTGCGACGGCGAATCCGTACACCTTCAAGTTACAGTTCAGCACACAACAACACCCAAGTTTGACCGTAGGAACAAATTGCTCGATATACCTGAGCTCCAGGAGATGCCGTGGCTTCTCCCATCGATCGAACAAACGGGTTAATCGAGCTCACCGCATCCTCATACTTATCGGGTTCACCGGCGCCGATTCTTATACCAAGGAATAGCCAAACTCTGATCGGCTCTCCTATTGTTCGAAGGGGAGCACAAGGTAATAGGAAGGATACAAACTGGGATCGAGATTGGTAGTCCGAGTAACTGAAGCCTGCGCTTCGGTGAGTGTGTTCAACTAAGCACTATGAGCGAGGCAAGGTCGCTGCGAGCGCAAAAGTGGTTATACTCGGTACGCTCAATGATACAGCCGTCGTACCGTCAAACAGCCAATAGATCTTTGCATGAGCACTGCGATATCTAGGTCTGTAGAGAAGGTGCTCTACTTTGGTGTTCCAGTTCGACCTGTGAGGGCCGTGAGGGGTCTTAAATTGTTCATGTTCACAGGATATAAGTATTAGCAGAGCTGTCGAAGTGACGACGCATGGGAAGACCCCACAGATTCTAAACCTATGTCACTACGCTATACCATTGTACTGTTCAGTCATATCAGCAGATCATCGTCTCCGGCGCATAATCATGGCTGGAGCAAGTCTGTCACCCTCCCTGCTAGCATCTATGGGGTGTTTATGCAGGTCATTTAGATGCAAGTAAGTACGTTGGGCTGAGTGAGCCACAGTCTGGACTGTGCAACTATCCACGCCTCACTTGTGACTTCAGCCTGATCCATTCCCCCCTCAATTAAATCAGAATACACAGCAGCAGCTTACCCTTATCTCTTCCTTGAGGGAATCTTTTGGTATGTTATCCCTTTACTTGTATGCACATGGTGCTCGCTGAACGGATAGCTAGGTGCGAGCCTGATCAGGCAACCGAGTTTGACGTCCGTGACTCTGGATATACTTTCGCTTTCCGCCCCCGTATCATCTTACCATTGGAGGAACTGCGCCGCAATTAAAGAACATGGTACAGCTCGCTTATGAACCCCTCGGGTCTAGTCGAGCAATTAGGTTGATCAAATCTCGACCCGGTTCGAGTCCAATATGCCAGATTGCCAAAGTCGAGGTTGAGAAAGCCCTGCCATATGTAGCTCTGTCATACACTTGAGGAAGCAAAGAATTATCGAGAGGGATCCTGATTAATGGAAGTGAGGTCCCATCACTAGGAACCTGGCCGAGGCCATTGATGCCATTTTCATCTTTGCAAGAGAACGAAGCATGATGTTCTGGGCATACTCAATATGCATTAATCAGGCAGACGATCATGAGCGTGGCCGACAAGTTCGACTCATGAATCCAATATATTGTTTGGCGGAGATTGTTGCAATTTGGCTTGGCCTAGCTGCACATGAGAGCGACCTCGCATTTGATACAATGAAGGAATGGAAGGCGAAATTCGACAGACTAAAAGAACAGTTTAATGGCTCTGAGGAGTTAGCAGTCACAAGCATCTCTTCGAGCGACGATTTCTATTTTGGTCCACGTGGCTCGGAACCACACAAGGCACTGAAGGCATTACGCATGCTATGTCGTCGGCCTTGGTGGGAAACAGCATGGATTGTACAAGAGAGAACCTTTGCCAATCCTGATCGCACGATATTATTTTACGGAAGCCGTAGCATTGACTGGATCCATTTATGAGCAGCACTTCAGGTTCTCCTTCACGTCAGGCACTATCAATACTCTGGCATGGACATGAGAATGGATTTCATCGATATTTTAGCCATCCAGCTGGATATTTTTCGGTCAGGTAAAGAAGATGGAGCGAACATCCGATTGTTACGAGTCCTTCGACTTATTCGAGGATACGAGTGTGAAGATCCTCGCGACAAAGTGTATGCCGCTCTAGGAATGGCCATTGACGGGAACGAGGATGGTATTATTTCAGACTATACAAAGCCAGCTTCAGCAGTCTACATTAATGCCATCAAATTTTGCATATCAAAGCCAAGCAACCAGTGCCTAAATCTTCGAGGAGAGGTACTCAGATCAGCACTAGGAAATAGATCCGAATACCAACCTGAGGTGATACTATCATCCTGGACACCGGATTAGACTTTTCAAGTAACCTCCTATCCGCTTGAGAAGGTGTTAGACTCGTGTGCGTATGGAGCAAGTGACTACGCCTATAATCCAAGTAAGGGCTCAAGGGACACTACTACATCGATGGGGCGCACCTATGTGTCCAGGTATCAGTGCCTGATCACATAGTTCGAGTATCAAGTGTATGCGAGTGGAGTCTAGGCGCAGCAGGGCTTCTCAATGAGCGATCGTGGGTATCAGAAGGCCCAAACGAGCGATAGTTCACCGAAGAGACGGTAATTCAGGCTTTCAATCACACTATAATGGCCGATATAGGACGACGAAACATTGAAAACGGTCCTGAGTTGTCACGAGGACTCGCCTTCAATTGGGAGTTAGCCAATCGGGATGATAGCAATATGTCTGCCGAAGGTCACCAAATGCAAAGCTGGATGCTTGAAGATGCAAAGGTAATGACATTCGGGAGAAGGATGTTTGAAACAAGTCGAGGCTTCACCGGCAGCCGCCGAAGTAGATGACCAAGTTTGCCTTCTCCTAGGTGGAGAAGTTCTCCATGGTTTGAGAAATTGTGAGAATAATCACCACGGGTTTGTTAGTGAGTGTTATGTGCATGGTATGATGGACGGCCAAGCTTGTGAGGACGAATCGTTCGCAATTAGGGACATAGTGGCCGTGTAAACAAGAGGTAGAAATACCATTTGTGCTAGCAGACTATCTCACAAGACGATATTTCCTATTTGTTGTAGGCAAACCTTTTTTTCGTGTAAATCATAGTTTTTTTTCCACGATGTGAGTAATCATAGAAATACAAGAATACATGTGTGGCAATTGAACCAAAAGCAGAACTATTGGTATGCATTCAAACTTCTGGAGACTCACGAATGAAGTTGTATTGCTTGACTTTAAAATTGCTACCGAGTAGTTTAGGTACTAAAGGGCGCTTGCAGAGCTCTTGGATTTAACGTAGCCCTTCAAGAAACCTTGTGAGGATCTGCATGACCTTTCAGCGCCACTAGACCCACGAAGAACTAGAGGGGAATTTTGCGTGCAAACTACCAGCGACCATATTTACTTGTCATGGACAACAATAAATATATTTCCGAGTGAAAGGCCATATCTATCGCCTGGACTTAAAAATAATACAACCAGCTTGTACGTTCGTATGTGCATACAACATAGAAAAATCATCTGTGGCGGTGCAGACAACGGCTGGTCGGCAAGGCTGATGACGTCCGCCTGGCGCTCGAGCCACACACCTCGCTCACGTCGTTGCACCAAAGCTTGCCTTAGCCAAATTTCTGCGACAACAGAACGGCCCAACACACACCAGCCCATCGCCATTGAGCTACCATTTCTACTCCCGCTGGTACTGTATCTGCTCAACACAATTATCCGAGTACACCAGATATGGCGCCCGTAAATGCACCTGTGCCACAGGGCCCCGGCCCATTCCCCGTCCAGATTCCCGTCGACAGCAACAACTCGCTCTGGGACCGGCTATCAAATTGGGCTTCGGAAAACAAGGGTGTTGTATACACAATTGCCGGAATCACGCTGGTCGTGGGCGCTGGTGGCGTTGTATACTACTTCTCAAATGATTCAAAAGGCGATAGCGGAGCAGACACATCGGCCGCCAAGCGCAAGAGGCAACGCGAACGCAAGCGTGCAAAAGAGAGGGCTGAGAAGGAGTCGACCCCTGAAAAAGGTTCTGGTATGCGCTTCCATTGTTGCGTGTGGCGGAGCATAAACTGATGCAATAACAGAAAAGAAGGCAACAGTCGCCGAGACCACCGAAGACCAGCTCCCCGACGTCGACGAGAACAGCGTCGCTGCACTTTCAGACGAGGTACGACAGAGAATACCATACCGAGGCATCTAGGCACACGGACTCCGTCATGTTCCTTTTGGCATTTGCTACTAGCAGCAGTCAATGGATCGTCCCAAGTGTACAGGGCCAAGGCGGGGTCGAGATGTGCCAGCAATCCTCTTTAAACACTATCTTGGTTGCCTCGAAAAAATAGGCTGACTTTCCACAGGAGCGCAAAGAGTATGCTGCCAAGCTCAAGGCAGCAGGCAACAAGGCCTACGGCTCTAAAGACTACAACCGCGCTATCGACCTCTACGGAAAGGCCATTCTCTGCAAACAAGACCCCGTCTTCTACTCCAACCGCGCCGCTTGCTACAATGCCATGTCCGAGTGGGAAAAGGTCATTGAGGATACCACTGCCGCTATCAACCTCGACAACGAATACGTCAAAGCCTTGAATCGGAGGGCGAATGCATACGAACAAGTTGAGCGCAACAGCGAAGCCCTTTTGGACTACACTGCCAGCTGCATCATCGATGGGTTCCGCAACGAGAACAGTGCACAGAGTGTTGAGCGTTTGCTCAAGAAGGTCGCTGAAGCAAAGGGCAAGGCTATCTTGGCCGCGAAAGAGAAGAAACTGCCCAGCCCAACTTTTGTTACAAACTATCTGCAGAGCTTCCGACCAAAGCCGACCCCAGAAGGCCTCGAGGACGATGCTGAACTTGACGAAGAGAGTGGCAAGGGTCAATTGCGCAAGGGTCTCAAGGCCATGGCTACTAAGACTGGCGATGGATACACTGAGGCTGCTGCCGCCTTCGACCGTGCCCTTGAACTTGGTGATCTCGGAGAACACGAGGCGTTCGCGTATAACATGCGCGGAACCTTCAGCTACCTCAAAGGTGACAACGAAGATGCACTCAAGGACATGGACAAGAGCATCGAGCTCCAGCCCACACTAACCCAGAGTTTTATCAAGCGCGCCAGCATGCACCTCGAGCTTGCCAACCCAGAAGCTGCCGAAGCCGACTTTGCCGCTGCGCTCGAGCAAAACGCAAACGACCCAGATATTTTTTACCACCGCGCACAACTACACTTTATCAAGTCCGAGTTTGGTGAGGCTGCCAAGGACTACCAAAAGTCGATCGACCTGGACAAGGACTTCATTTTCTCTCACATTCAACTCGGTGTTACACAGTACAAGATGGGCAGTATCGCCTCGTCAATGGCTACTTTCCGCCGCTGCATGAAGAACTTTTCGCAGGTGCCCGATGTATACAACTACTACGGTGAACTACTTCTCGACCAGCAAAAGTACCAAGAAGCTATCGAGAAGTTTGACACTGCTGTCGAGATGGAGAAGACGACCAAACCCCTTGGAATGAACGTCTTGCCTCTGATCAACAAGGCTCTTGCACTTTTCCAATGGAAGAACGATTTTGATGAAGCCGAGAAGCTATGCGAGAAGGCGCTCATCATCGATCCGGAGTGCGACATTGCCGTTGCCACCATGGCACAGCTGTTGCTGCAACAAGGGAAGGTCACTGAGGCACTCAAGTACTTTGAGCGTGCTGCGGAGCTGTCAAGGACAGAAGGCGAGATTGTCAACGCGCTAAGTTATGCCGAGGCGACAAGGACTCAACTCGAGGTAAGCTGCTTCCATTCATTGCTTTCCTAAGTATTTCTGTTACGACCAATCAATGCTAACATGGTTCAATAGGTTCAGGAAAAGTATCCCAAGCTTGCCTCTAGATTGGGCGCCATGGGTGCCGCTGCTGGAGGATTTGGCATGCGATAAAAAAGAAGGGTCAATTTTTGTCGCTCGGTAATCAACTTGATTGCTTCTCCACCCGCCCAGTCGCTTTCAGCAAGAGTAGAAGGAAAAAGAAACAGTCTTCCCGGTCTTCAGTCTTGTTGCACGCACAAATATTCTCACCTCTTTGTTCATACCGTGTATTTAGTATCGTCTGGTTGAGGGCAAAGGAAAAAGGACCTCTGTTGGATGGGCAAAGTATGATATCCTGGACTGTTGGTAAAACATGTATGTGTATGTTTGTGTGTGTGTGTGTGTGTATGTGTATGTGTATGTGTATGTGTGGTGTCGTGCGTACCGTGTTATATGTTTTACATGCTTTGTCGGCATGGCTTTTCAAAGTACGAGTGAAAAGAAGCGTTTGATGAGAAGAAAGGAAAGAAAAAAGTCGGACACTATTAATACGACAATCTCCTACACTCTGGAATTGCACCTTGATATCGTGTAAGGAGTACGTTTGTTGTTTGAAGTTCGAGGTATTTCCAAGTCACTGTTAAGTGGTAAAAATAAGTGCAATGACATGCATTCAGACCATCAAAAGGTCGGATTCTCTGCTTCACAGTGGGCAAAATCCCGGAATCTAGGTGGTGCATCTATCCCATCCTTGCCCCACTTTCTATACATACATACTTTCTCTCTCTCTCGCAAACAAGCACACAATTACTCGCCGCTCAATTGCAAGATAAGGGTACTTGCAACATCGAGAAAGGGAAACGGACTCGTGACAATCTTCTCGCCTTCCTGGCGCCCCGCACCCACAAGCTCCGTTCTTTCTCGAAGAATCTCGGTGCCCCCTTCATTCAGCTTCTTGGCTAGGTCTTCGGGAAGTGGCTCATTTTCGTCTAGTCGGCGCCACACACCCTGCTCGTCGTCCCAGCCGTCCTGGTGATGCGGTGGAGGTTGGTGCGAGCCTGAGAGCGGAATTGAGGCCTTGATTTCGCGCACAAGATTGGTGACGAGGCGCTCGTAGCCTGCGCATTTGAAGTCGACGACAAAAAAGTCGCGGTCGATGCTGTACAGTTGGATGGACATGTAGATGTATACTGCTTCGTCAGGATTCACATGGTCCTCACTAATCGACCCTGCACGCTCTGAGGGGGTCATGCCTTCGACACCGTGGCCGACGCTCGATGTGCTGGTGTTAGTCGAACTCCGTCTTCGTGCACCAGAAGGATCGTTAGCGAGATCGACGCGTGAAGAGTGCGTTGACGAGGGATGCGCAACACCAGGTGGGAACATGCCCTCCTTCAAGAAGCGTGCATGGATAACCCAGGGATCTTCAGGCACGTGGTAACCCCAGTCATTTGTATGGTTGTAGTGCTTCTTTTGTCGACCTCTGGCTTCTTGTTCGCTTGTGCCATTGTTGCGTACACTGAGCGGCTCCCGACGTGGCGAACCCTTCCGTGAGCCCTGGTCTTCGTCTGATGAATGTGAAGAGATGGAGTCTTGTGAGTGATTTCTGGATTTGGACTTGCGGTCTTCTGGAGCCTGAGAGGTACTCCGGCTGCGAGACCCACTACGACCACCGGCTCTGCGTATCTTTGGCACTTCCCAGTCGGCACCCATAGCTTTTAGTGCTTTGAATATAGCAAGCATAGCCTCTGCAGGCTGGTTTCTGGATCGAATACCGAATTGCCACTTGGTCGCACGTGGCTTCTTAGTCGGCAGGCTAGTCATGGGCTCCGGCTTTGTTCTACCTGCTTCGGGCATTGTACGGAAATTTGGTTTAAGTCTTCGAGCCGATATTTGTCGTTGTTCTTCTGTCTGTTCAGGTGTCGGTGGGAGAGCTTCGCTTTCTGAAATCTTGTTGGTGGGTCTTGGATGACCCTTCATATAAGCCTTGTGGTATTCTGTAAGACTACTCGGGAGGATTGCTATGGTGCTGACCGGGCTGCGAATGCTTGCAAGCTGACTACTAGCATTGGATCCTTGGCGCGCTCTTTCATGATCCGAAGGCGCTGGGGGTATGAATTGCGGACGGGACACAGCATTCAGTGATTGTGGCCTGAACTTTTCCATATAACTGTCGTGCGCAGGCGGCGATTGGTGATTCCACACCGGAATACCGTCCTGGTTGGTTAACAAAGCTAGAATCAAAAGTCAGCTGCAGGCCATGTTTGTACGAGTAGTCATGCTTACGATTCTCTCGCATCATCTCATTCTCTCGGACAATGAGATAAGCATCTTTAATGGCACTCGGCTCATCGCGTGCCAATGCATCTTGCACATCATGCTTCGCGTAACCCATTGTCTTTCCAAGCTTTGTCACTACATTTTCATGCAGCGCCTGTACACGAGGAGCATCGGCCAAAGGTGCAAGAGCCTTGGGATCAATAGCCTTGTTGGGGTCAGCGCCGCTGTCAAAGAACTCTTGTGCGGGCGGTTCGAGATATGCTGGCAGGTCTGTCGTGAACCAGGGGTCTTGTCGAAGCTCGGGAATAGTGATGCGGTGTACGGGATTGACCATGAGCATTTTTCTGATCAGAGAGGTGGCGCCCGGTGAGAGATAGCTGGGTGTGCTGTACTGGCCGGCGGCAATTTTCTTAAAGAGGGTGGGGATATATTCGTCGTCAAAGGGTAGTCGGCCAACTAACAAGACGTACAGTATGACACCACAGCTCCAAACGTCGACTTCGGGACCAGCGTATAATTTCCCGGAAATGACCTCGGGCGCAGCATAGTTGGGGCTGCCGCAGCTTGTTTTGAGAAAGTTGCCATCCGTCATAATGTTGCTTAAACCAAAGTCGGCAATTTTTACGTTGCTATCGTGGTCGAGAAGGAGGTTCTCGGGCTTCAAATCTCGGTGGACAATCTTGTGTCGGTGGCAGTATTCGACGGCGCATACAATCTGCTGGAAGAACTTTCGGGCCTGTGCCTCTTGCAGTTTGCCGTGGTTGACAATGTAGTCGAACAATTCGCCGCCGGCGTATTCGAGGACCATGATGATCTCGGTCGGCGTTGTTATGACGGTATAGCTAGGAGAGCAAAAGTGAGCATGAAAATGAGGCAAGTGCGGCTACAGGCAAACGACGTACAGCTTGATGATATGCGGATGGCGCAGCAGCTGCAGATACTGAATCTCACGCTCGATCCTGCCTGCCATGTCTCTGGTGACGAGCCTCTTGCGATTGATGATCTTGAGTGCAACCTTTTGGCCGCTGACCTGGTGGGTGGCCAGCTTGACCTTGCCGAAAGAGCCCTCGCCCAAGGTGCGGACAATAGTATACTGGCCGAGACGCTGGTTGGCCTTTGTGTCCTTGCTCTTGGTTTCGTGCACGGCAGTTCCGAGCGCAGTGGACGGCGGCGGGGCGGGGTCCTGGGTCTTTGTTGTGCTGGTTTGGGCGGCGCCCCGCCGCTGTGCAGGCATAGAGATGGAGAGCTCCTCCAGGTCCTCATTATCGATTGCGGCCGACATTGTATGGCGAGTGGTATGGTGGCGCCGGTCGTGCTTGGAGGCGCTGGCCAGAGGCTTTTGCGGGGATAGGGCTGGAGGGCGGTTTGCGTCTGCGGGGACTATACAGGTAACATCCGGTTAGCAGGTGTGCCGATGCAGGGCGGAAGCATGCGAAGAGGAGCGCGCCCGTTGAGACAGGCAGCGAGAGGGAGAGAGAGAGAGAGAGAGAGAGACAGAGAGCGGCGAAGAGGACGAGAGCTTGTTGGCGGCCCGTGAGAGTGTGCAGACGCACAGGTACCAGGCTCGAGTTGACAGTATTGTGTGCAGTGCAGTAAGAGAGCGGGTAAGGGCAAGCAACCAACTTACGTCAGGGCCGAGCGGATGTTCTGGCGATGTGCGCTTGCTTGCTGCTACCGACCCGACGCTGCGACAAACATCACCATGTAGGGTTGGCAAACGATGAAAGTGATTCGTATCTAAATACTGATTATGCGGCTTTTTCCCCAAACGCACGCGTGCAGCACCCGGTCGCCGCCGCCGTCGTTTGTCGTCGACGAGGTTGTGGGGGAGGGTGTGGAGCGCAGACTGCCGGGGATGGTGGGCAGCGGGCAGGATCAGGATGCGGGATGCAGCAGAGAGGAGACGAGGTGGAGAAGAAAGGAAACAGAAGGCAACGTGAAAAGAGCAGCAAAGTATGGGGAAGTGGGCTGGGGCGCAGAATGACGATGCTCAGAACAGACATGGTCGAAACGCCCATCACTCAACGCTTTACCGAGCCTGCCCGTCGGCCATCCATTCACCTGCCACCCCGATGCGATACATACGTGCATACATACATACATACACTACCACAACATGCTTGGGACGGCATTCTTCACTTTCGCATCCCGAACAGGCCGCATGGCATTGTGTGCTTGCCTCTAGCCTTTTGCGTACCATGCCGTCAGCTCCAGCATGTTGACTTGCATGACTATTAGACATGGAATGCCGGCTCCACGGCCTCACTTGAAGCAGAACAGGCGCCCCAGGCCCCGCTGCTGCGCTTCACGTCGCGCCGCACCGTCTACATATGCTGCCTCTCCCTCGCTCGTCGAGCTTGCGCTGCTCACCTGCTTGCCCTTGCCGCTGCCAAACACCCTCAACAACACCACCATGCTGCCCGCGCTGACAATGCTGCCACACAAGATGCCAATCATGACCAGGTTGCTCTTGCGGTACTTGTGCGGCCCCGCCTGGGCATCTGCAGGCCATCCCGAATACAGCGCGTACGTTGTCAAGATGCTGCCTAGGTTACCCAGTCCAGACACCAGGGCGCTGGCTGCAGCCACTCCCACCTCTCCATGCCGCGGCTGGAAGATCTCGTTGGACCATGCCATGCAGATGGGCACTGTCGGCCCAAGCCCAAACCCAATGAGCAAAACCCCGCCGTATCGTGACCACCCTTTTGCAAACGTTGCCACCACGAGTCCGGTGATCTGAACGAGAACGGCAGCGCTGAAAAATGCAGGCCGGTGGTGGTGGAAGCGATCCGAGATTGGGGTAACCAGTAATATGGCAATCAGGTCCATCTGTACACGCATCAGCTCACTTTTCTTGCCAAGACGGCAATCCACTCACAATCCAGATGGGTGCCGAAAGCAGACTGAGCTGGATGCTCGTCAGGCTTGGGTTGATGCCCCGGATGATGACAGTCGCATATGCCTGCGTTCCGTTGCCAACTCCAACCACGCCAAAGTACATGACGACCAATGGGTAGATCCTCCAGTCGATGATGACGTTCCACAGGTCTCTCATGTTCCATAGCTTACGACTGTAGACACGTGTGAGATCTTCGTAGTGAACACGCGCGTCGTCGCCTTCCAGTGCCGGTTTGCTTTGAGGAAGCCACTTCATCCACCCTGTTCGCTCGCGGACTTGACCAGGAGGCAGTGGCCTGTCTGGAAGCCACCAAAGTAGAGACACGCCGACGATAAACCCAACAATGCCATAGAGGAGGAACATCCACTGAAAACCCACCAGCCCACCGAGACCGTCCATTTTTTGGAACCCAGCCGATACCAGGCCTACAACAGCTGCAGACATCTGGGAAGCTGTAAAGTAACGCCCAATCCGCTTTCCAGTCCGGGACGGGGGGTAAAACAGAGTCAGATAGTACGACATGCCTGGCCACATGCCTGCAATGACGATTCCAAGCAACAACCGCAGTAGACTGCACGTGATCAGCAACGAGACAGCCTAGCAGTACCAAATGATCCCTTACTAAAGGTTCCATGCAGCATTCATAGCAGTCAAGCACATGCCAATGATGCCAACGCAAGTGACGATGCGACTCATCCACGCGTGGGGACTAACTCTCGACATGATGAGATTCGATGGCAAATCGAAAATGACATAGCAGACATAGAACAGCGCCAGACCCGTGGAGACCTGTTTAGGCGTGATGTCAAGCACAGATCCGAGGTCGTGGCCCTCTGCCAGGTTCATAGTCTGCGCAAGTCCAATGTTTGAACGAATCGCCGAGCACATGAAGTAGAGAACCCAGAACGCTGGGAGTATCCTGCGATCAAGCTTGCTAGATTGGGGGGGTAAGTGTACGTTACATCTAGGGTGTATGGTGTTTGCAAAAAAGAAAAAAGAAAGTTACTCACGCATATACCCTCTCGATTGCATCGAGATCAATTGCCTCGGCACCAACTTCGACATCGCGATGTAGGCCGGCCTGCTTGGATGTCTGTATGTTTGGTGCATTTTCCTCACGTGGTACCCCGTTCACAGCATCCTCGGCTGCCATTGTTGCAAAAAGGACAGCCAGCAGTAGTGAGAAAAGAAAGAATGAGTCGCAACGGCAGAAAAGCAATTCAGTGTTGAATGCACCTACTCAACCCTACTTAAGCCGATGCCGTTCGGGTTAAACCTCTACTCACGAGCGCTTCGTGCTATTCGTCGAGGCGAACAATTTGCACGGCTAGTGGGGGTGGCGCTAGGCGTGGTTGGGGGAACGACTGACGGCACGCGGTACAAATGCATCTGGGCCGTTCCCGAGTTCGGCACCAGACTTGGCCCGAATACTTATGTACAATTTACATTATGTATGTGCTAAGCCCCCTGGTACCCTCGTGCCCAGTTCTCTTTTTATATTTCAACACACTCCTGGAACTCACGTCGAAGGCTTGATTCCAGTCGATAGTCTCCATGGAGCAAGCTGGATGATCACCAAGACTTGACATTACATTCTAACAAGAGGTGATATTTGAATTAGTCACTAAACCGATCCATTGCAGCACGATGAAAATAGCAGATACGCAAGCTTAGTAAAAACGATGTTGAAACCGGATCTCACGGATGACAAGTACGAACGATGCAGCACCTCCTGGACCTAGAAAGACGGTGGCGATGGTAAGGTAAAGCAACTCTTAATTTTCAGAGACTGAGGCCCAGTGACGCGCTTTTACCTCGGCCATTCCATCTCGAGGCGAGAGAAGAAGGTGCGAACAAAGGATATTTGTGAGAGCCACTAAGATCCAATCCCATTGGGAGAAGAGGTGAAGGTTCTCAACCAGTGAAATGTACTTGTCAGACAGCCCATGGAGCTGTAGAGGAGCTTTGATAGGATCGCAAAACCCGCGGGCGGGCACAAACAGTCTCGTCAGCGATGATTGAGTATCGCGCGTGATAAGTGTCCCAGAGACTGTGTATGCGTGTACAGCGGCAGCAGCGGTGCCGCCAGGGACCAGTGATGTAACAATGCAATTTTTTGGACTTGCCGCGGGAGACCAAGGCTGCTCTCGGCAGTACCGATGCAAAACCAAGACGGAATACTAAAACACCGAGGGGAGCTACCTAGAAAAGGGCTATGCACCTCTGGTTTGCATTGCTTCCGTCGTTCACCATCCGTGCCGGGACGAAGACAAGCAAGGGCTGGAGCAAAATCGCCACCGCCGACGCCAGCAGCGCCGTAGCCTTGTGCATAGGAACGGAGGCATCACGCAAATGGGCTTTACTGCGACACACTGCGTGCAAGTACAGCGCCCATACAATGGCCGCCCTCCTGTGTCAGTGAAGCAGAATTCTCTCACCTGCCGTATACCGCGATCTAAATCAGTCTAGTTTAGCTCTTCCGTCTTTGGGGTATAGAACCTATGGTGACCATCGGGCACTCTTCTGGTGAAATAGGTGCTGCATTATCTGCTGGGTATCTCGCCGAGGCTAAAGCCATATGAGTAGCATACTATCGCCGTCGGATTGTCAAAGACATCGACTCAGGAGGTGTTATGATAGCTTTCGACCTTGGAGCCGATGCTGTAACACCTTATGTTCAAAGTTACGAACCTGAGGTGGTCATTGCTTGTCACAACTCGCCATCTGGAGTGACCCTGAGTGGCAATGTGGACACTTTGAATTCGATTGAAAAGACTCTTCAAACTAAGAGCATATTTTGCCGCCTCGTAGACACCAATGGCAAGGCATATCACTCACGCCGTATGCTTTCGGTTGTTGCAAGACACAAAAGCCTTATTTCCAAAGCCAGGCACGGTATCACCCACAGGAACATGTCCAACAATATCAAGATGGTATCATCAGAGCCTGTCAGGCAAATTAAGACTCATTTGCAAGACAACAAGTTGCAATACCTACCAAGTCTTTTACGTGACTTACTTTGTGCGAATCAGGTACTCAAGCTGGCTGGTGAACTATTCCTGCGGAACTACTCTCTTGATCTCGCAAGAGTGACCGCAATCGAAGAGGTATAACCATCAGGCAAGACAATTCCGCAAAAAGGCAAACTCATCCTAGATCTCCCGCTCTATCAATGGGAGAAGACAAAAAAGTACAGGGTTGAGTCATGAGAGACTAAAGATCACCATTACCCACGTTTCCCATATCATGACATTTTGAGCCAATTGACAATCGGTGGCTCTTTAGCTGAACCCACTTGGCGCAATTTCATTCGAAGGTCACCAAAAACCAATATGGCTGGAAGTATTACGATCAATACCGATGCACGCTCAGCACTCCCCGAAAAGGTACCCAATCTACCACAGCACACCTCTGGTAGACACCGGAATCAAGCCTTGAAGAATGTTGGATTTGATTACGGGCCAATATTCTGAGACATGAACAACATCAATTTCAATGGATCGACATATTGCGCTCACGCTTTGACGATCATCAAGCGAACATCAAGACTGCTGTCATGAAAGATGATTCCAGCCATGTTTTGCATCCAGCTATTCTAGGCTCGTGTCTCCAACTCATGATAGTCGCCATCTGGCGTTCTCGGCACATTGGGCCAAGCCAACTACTACGCGGCTGCAAACACTTACATGGATGCACTTGCGCGGCAGCGCTAGGCTCAAGGGAAGCCCTCCTGCGCCATAGTACTTCCTATGATTCTCGGCGTCAGTGTTGTAGCCCAGAACGATGAGCCTGAAGACCAAATTAAGCCCAAGCGTATGTATGGCATGAAAGAAGAGGCAATGCTGGATTGTTTCGAAGTCGCCGTCATCGAGCAGCAAGCCCAAACACATCATCAAAACGACCCTATCGATCACCTCAACGTCGGACTGGACCCAGCTGAGCTGCACAAAGCGAGGACCGAGGCAGAAGGCGATATCGACGATGTTTGGTCAGCCGACTCACGATTTTCGTCCCTGGTACATTTCGTGAACGCGTGTGGTAGCGGTGATCAAGGAGTCGATGGTGACGCCGGTTCTATCCTAACGCGACTGGAAGCTACTGTAACAGAGTAGACAGCAAAAGCAGTCGATCTAGTACGCAGACAATTTATCGCCAAGGTTGCCCAAGCACTGTTGATCAACGAGGCGGAGCTTAGCAGCGATTAAAATGCTGAGCGCTCATAGTGAGCTGTGGTGTTGACAGTATAATCGGAGCAGAACTGCGAAATTGGATATCCAAAGAACTGGCTGTGGAAATTGCTTTAAATAAACTATTTAGCCCTTCCATTACCGTCTCAAAATTTTCAGAACTGGTTTGCGGAGCTCAGGGCATTGTAGTGGAGTAAAATGGTAAAGCTACGCGATGGAGGCATGGATGAACCCGTGTTGTAGGACTACTAGCCGATGCCCCTATGCCCTTTTCAGAGCGGCAGTGTGTCGCCGATGGCGGACGGCTAGAGTTAGTTGACCGAGTGGATCGGGGATCTGCAGCGTGCGCGTATTAGCAGATATAAAGTTTGTGTTTAGTCTAATGTATTACAAGGAGCTAAAACGCACTTCCATCTTCTTGCTGTCTCTGGAATTGTTATAGCGCCATTCTTCTCACCTTTTGAGCAATTTAGTAGGTCAAGAAACACAAATCCACACCCTCAGAGTGCTCTAGCCATGGCAGACGTGCCCACTATGTTCATGGCCAGCTACGTAATTTTACAAGAATCAGACACTTCGCATGCAACATCCCGCTCGTCGGATACATAATTTGTCTCCCCTTTGGCTGTTGAGATAGGACTAACAATAATTATTTCTTGATCTGTGGCACGGGGCATGACCTCCTGCTGCCTTTTCGTCACTGGCGCAAGATTGATTGATTAGGCGCCCTGAGCATAGGAATTGTCTGAGCTGCCGTCCCGTACAATATTCCAAACGGAACTACTTGCATGACTTCGGAAGTAACTTGCATACTACGATCAGGTTACATTACCAAATACCAGTATACAATATAAGAGTAGCTTGAGCACAGTGTACTTATTAGCAAACCACAGAACGCCATGATTGCAGAATGTTTGGTCAAGTATATGACATAGGCTGTTCAGAATTCCTAAGTATCTGAGTAAATCTGAAGCTTCTGGAATAGATCTCTAGCTATTAATTGAAGTCGACGAAATATGGGTTGCCTAGTTATTCGTATTTCGCATTGCACGCCACACCACGCTTGTACGCCAAGTCTATCTCTAACCCAGCTCTAGCGTGTTACGATAGAGTATAGACACCTTGATCCCTGTTCTCGTTCTTGCCAAACCTATCATCTCAGGAAGTGGTATGACTTTAATGTTACACACGACACACAATGAGGAAATACCCCTACCCACTTTTGGCAATTTATTAATCGCTGGCTGGGCCCGGGGTTCCCGCTTCTGACCTGGCTCTTTCCTTGTAACAACTCGACAATCTTTTTGAAGATCAAGATCATCTGCCAAAAGAATGCATCAAGTAATTCCTAGAACTCACATATGAAAGCATGTCTCGTACAAACGACCTGGTCTAACAAATACATTCTATGGCCACAAAGTACGGATGGAGATTTTCTTTAGAACCAAAGCAAAGAACTGAAACTATTCGGATCCATGTAGAATGGCATACAGTCACCATCCCAATTTGTTTTGCTGATTTTCCTAGGGCTGATTTCAGCCGCTTGGCGGTTCATCCCGCAATATATGCAATGTGCTGACATTGCATAGGTAAAGCCCCGAAATAGAAACCCGCAGATTGCTAGGACCGTATTGGACATGTTGCTCAATCTTCAATTGGCTGCTCATATTGGTAGGGTAGCCCAGGTATCCAGCTTGATTCGTGATACTAATAAACAATTATTTCCATGCGGGGAAGGTAGTAGGTATTGTTGAGTGACATATAAACCGACACTGTCGTCGAATATGGTGCTTCTTATCGAAACAAGCGAAGATGTCTTCCAAGTTGCTGCGAGTTTGCTGGGTCATTGCTGCATATCTTCAAGTTCGGGGACTGGCGCGTAAGATAATGTCCATAATATGTATCAGATGTTGAGATTACAGCCATGACTTATTCCCACATAGAGACCATTCCAAGTCCTACGTCGAGCTCGAATGCACCCTCAAATACTGCTGTCGCTCCTGCCCCCACGCATCCACCGATACCACCTGCAAATACTCCTGCTCTGCCCCCTGACTTCTCCGATATCCCGGCAAGTGTAATCAGCTGCTGGGATGCCCATGCCAGCTATACTTCAGCCTCTTGGTTCCTCTATACCCAGCTTTTGAGCAGCGAGAATTATACCTGGAATCCTTGGTCAACCACGTCTTATTCGTACTCTCCATATCTCAACGAGAGATTCGACTGCAAAACTACGGCGTTGCCGTCTCTTACGACATTGTGTGATGGATTCCCTCGTGCGTCTACAAGCTCGACAAAATGTCAGACTGTTACTGAGACATACACGTTCACGATCACTGGCGAGGCTACATACTATACGCCACCATGGTCTACAGAACTCGATCAACTGCCATCTCCAACATGTACCGTCGCTAGTGACTACGGCGCATTGTGTACTAGGCTGAAGGACGCATACAAATGGCGTACATCATTCCTGTCACAGAATCCTTCCGCCACAGGGTCAATTGCAGGACCTGGATGCACAGTTCTCAACGATGGCACCGTGCCGTCACAGCCTCCATGCTATCTTGAAGGAGGAACGTGGGAAGCGTTCTACTGGCCAAGTACTGCAATTCCCTCAGGATCGGCATTTTGCGATACCAACAGTACAAATACCACCACCACGTCTGGTCCAGCTAAGACTGCTGTAATCTCTGGCATAACCATGACGAGCCCAAGCGTGTACTACCTGTTACGCAACGCAATCCTCCAGACACTCACAGGCCAAGCCTCGCTGATAGGGAACACGAATACTGCGACTAAAACGGACATTTTCGCGCCATCAACAACCGCCTCGCTTCTGACAGTTGCACAGCGCGAGTCCGACATCGTGACCATATCACGTGTATGTGCGGGCTCCGGTCAACGCCGATACTGCACTTTTCACGGGTCTCCCGGTTTCTCCGTCGCAGACCTTGCTACCGTGCGGGCCTCAGAGTACTGTGGATTCTGGGGCTGTGGCGCTAGCGAGACCATCTACCAGAACGAATACACGCCTACGCTCGGCATTCCTGTAAGTGAAGTCGCGGCGCAGAATGGGGTTTTCGGGGATTGTGCCTGGACGACACCGGGTAACAGAGTTCGAACTGCGGGGACGGCTGCGTATAATGGGGGCACGATGAAGATGGAAAATTGGCATCCTATTACGGCAACATAGCATGGTTCCAGGGAATAGTACGGAGAGGGGTGTACTATGATTTCGTTTGACTACTATGACTTGAGATTAAGTGCAGAAAGAGCGCTAGCATATGATCTGCCGCTACTAGTCCCCCAAGCGATCGGACTTCCGAGATGCACTTCGTCATGGTTACTCATCCCATCTTTTCGTGATTCTCAGACTCTCTCAATCCGAGCTCTGCCGTGCTGCCGTGCAAAGCTTTCCACCTCCAAGCTTCAGCTTGTTTTGCATTACCACAATGTGCCCAGTACTATACCAAATGCTCGCCAACACATTTGTGCGCTCATCGCGCCGTGTGGTTCCTGCATCGCGAACAAGGCTTCGGCTTCGAGGCACCCGGCCTGCTTCGACATTGGCTGAGAACCCGCACATTGTAATGCTTATCCCTATATAATTTCTTTTTTCCTTTCCTTTCCTTTTCTTTTTTACATGACTCAGATGCTAACGCAGAATGTAGTATGTGCACAAAGATCCATTTGATCCAAGCAAACAATTGCTATCCCTTCTACCCACGGAACCCCCAACACCTCAGCTCGCAATTGGCACTTGTACAGCTCTGCCACCTACACCCCGCAATTTTACCGAAAACCCCCAGTTTCTTCCTATATTGTATTCGGTATTCGCGGCGCATGCGGCTCAGGATCCTTACGTACAGTCGCAAGCAGCTGTTTACGCATCACCTGGTGGCTCCAATCTTTCGCAGCCCAATGATGGTGCAGGCGGGGCAAACCACCAGGGTGGCATGGGAGGAGGGGGACACGGAGGGTGGATACACATTAGTGATTTGAGAAACCCGCCAGACTATGGGCGCATTGCTTGGCCCGAGGACATATTTGGGAGTGTAGAGGTGGATGCGCATGGGAGGTTGAATGGAGGTGATGGAGCGTGGCAGAATAGCGGGACATATCGCATTGTGACGAGGGAGGGAATGTGAGTACCAGGATGGCATAGGTTATCGCCTAGTGATTCCAGACTGACAATACTGTAGATTGGGGTTGACCGAGTTCATGCGAGGAAAGATGGTAGAGAAGCTGCTGGATCTCGAGAGACAGATTAAGCAAAACTCCTAACGACGGCATGACGGAGAAATATACCCAGGAGGAAACGAGGGACGGAATAAGACGATATGATTCGTGTAATGTAAAATGCACTCTAGGCCATGGCCAGTCTATGGGTATCAAAACAAGACTCGGCTCCCAGACGAGTCTTCCAACCACCATCATCGTTGGTGCCGTGTCAACTCCCGCAATCTCAATCTCGGCTCAACTCTCCCGCCTCGAGCTTTTCCAGGAAGGCCTTGCTAAATCTCTGGGCCTGCTCGTAGGCAATGGTGAATCCATCGTCGCCACCGTAGTAGGGATCGGCAATCTCCTCGCCCATGTCGCTGCCTCTGTACTTTCTCCTCTTGCCACCAAACTCGCCAAACAACATGACGTGGCCGATGCCGTCGTCGCCACCCCTCTTCTTGACTTCCCTCTGGCGCAAGCTCTCCAGGTCGGCCAGGTTGTCATGGTCCATGGCGAAGATGTAGTCAAACTTGTCAAAGTCGGTGGCGGGCGAGAACTTGCGGGCCGAGTGGCGGTACGAGGTGATGTTGTTCTTGCGGAGGGTGGCCATGGTGCGCGAGTCTGGATCGGAGCCGATATGGTATGCGCCGGTGCCGCATGAGTCGATGTGGGTTATCAGTGGGTGTGGGGACTTTGCGGCGGGTCGTGTGAGGGACTGGAAGACGCCTTCTGCCATTGTGGAGCGGCCTGCACGTGGCGGAGTTAGTGGTGTGGTGTGCAGGCAGAGAGGGGATGGTGGTGTAGACTACATACAGATGTTTCCAAGGCAGACGAAGAGGACGGAGACGGGCTGCGGGGAGGTTGATTCGCCCATTGTTTCGATGGGTGTGGGGAAGAGGGGGTGTTGTGTCTATAGATGGTGTGCTATGGTATGGTACATGTAAAAAAAAAGTTGGCCAGTGTCTGGCTACTGGTATGTCTGTGCCTGGGCCTGGTGGAGAAGCGAGCGAAGATCTGGGGATGGTGGGACGGTTTGGGTGCCAAGACGATGTACAGCACAGGCACAGACACAGACACAGACACGGACAGATTTCCGTCTCAAGCTTCACAAGGCAACTTAGTCTCTACTGCAGCATACTTACATGTGCATCAATCTGCACGTGTTGGAGGCATGACTCGCGTCGCTAAGTGCGCCCAAAAAGAGACGGGTATTTTGGGCTTGGGAGGCTTGCTACTCATGCGCAGCCACGGCTGGAATAAGCACTTGGTAGGTTAGGCGTGCACCAGTGGCAGCATCCACTTGCGGCTGTGGGTAGAGTGCGTGCTAAGTACACAGCAAGAGCAAGTAGTGAGTTGGCTGCAGTGACGAGGGCAGCTTATGCAACACCAGACGAACGGAAGACATGGGCATGGCAGCAAGGCACACGCTGTCCAGGATGCAGGACCGGTGTATCTCATCCGTTGCAGCCCCTCGTCTATTAACGGCAGTCTTTTGCATAAGCAGGCCACATGCACGGCCTCGTCACTGGGTGCGGCTGTGAAGGCTGAAGGAGTGGGAGTGTGGCGGACATGCCCCACGTTGATTGCGTAGCGAATGGTGCGCAGTCAGTCGCAGTCAGTCGCAGTCAGTCGCAGTCGCAGTCAGTCGCAGTCGCAGCTTTTGCCTTGGCTCGCTTTGCCTCGTCTTGCCTTGCCCGCCTGTCCTGCCCTGCTTGGCGGCTGCGTACTTGGATACTTCAAGCTACACACACCCACTCACCCGCCCGCCTGCATACTCGACCAGCCGAGAAGACGTCGTCGACCTTTCAAAACAAAAACACATTCCATCATCGTCCCGTTGTTTGCCTCGGCCACCCTCGTATCCGGCCTTGTATGCTCAAGTGCCCGCCGTTACATCATTACCCACTTGTGCCCGCCGGTTGCTGTGGTAAACAACTGCGGTGCACCCTGCAGCTTTTGTGACCCACCAAGCCCACCTGAAACACGATACATATTCCTGCCCTCTGTCCCGCAACGCTTATACGACGAGCACAACAACGGCTGCGCCTTTGGATTTGCTGCCGCCCTATCCCTCACATTAACGTTTTGGACTGTGGTTTCGCACGTCGCATTGTCGCCAGTTTGAACAAAGTTGCGGCCGCACCACGGAAATCACGTCGGCATGTCATACAACAGACTAGGTGAGTGCCCACGCGGACCGCGGCTTCCCTTGATGCGCGCCCGAGCAACCGCCCTGTGACCGCTCTCTGCGTACTGTCCTTTGTTTCCCCCTGCCTTCTTACCTCACCCACCGGCTACCCTATCGCAACACTAACAGTGCTGTTCAGACCACCCGGGCGGCAACGACGACCCCTTCGACATGGACCCACGACGAGGAAACGGGCGCACGCCCTCTCCCGGACAGCCACTCCGAGGCTACCAACTCGAAGACCGATATACATCCCCCTCGCCATCGGGCGTCTTGGAAATTCCCATGGGACCCAACCAAGCAATTGCATCTAGCGACCGCTTGCCCTTACAACCAAGTGTACGTTGGATACACACACACACACACACACACAGCATGAGACATTCTGAGAGCTGTTAGGCTACTTTGACATGGTCGCGACATGCCCAAACACCACAGGGCTAACAAAACGCAGTATTCGGTAGAAAACATCCCATACACTGGAGGCAACTACCACGACGACTACGACCCACGACCGCAACGACACGAAAACAACTATTCATTCGACCCCCAACAACACCACGATGCATACTACAACCAGCCTTACGACCCAACACCGCACGACGAGAGCCCAGGCGCCGGATACGGCACTCAGCCTACGCATTACTGGCAGGACGACGATATGAACAGGCCCATGATGCAAAGCGGCACCTCATATGGCCCAGATCCTCACGACCCAGAAGATATGGATCCAGAAAACCCGTTTCATGATGAGCCAGCACCGCCACCCACCCAGGCACCGATCAAGAGATGGAAGACAGTCAAGGAAGTCCAGTTGTTCAAGGGTAACTTGGTGCTCGACTGCCCCATTCCCCCACGGCTGCTGAACCAGGTCCCACATGCACAGCCCCCCGAGCGTGACGAGTTCACACACATGCGCTACTCGGCCGCCACATGCGATCCTGCAGACTTTGATGCAGAGCGCTTCACCCTGCGCCAGAAGCTATTTGCCAAACCGCGACACACGGAGCTGTTCATTGTCATTACCATGTACAACGAGGAAGATGAGTTGTTCGCGCGAACAATGAGTGGCGTAATCAAGAACATCGAGTACATGAACTCGCGAACCAACAGCAAAACGTGGGGCAAGGACGCGTGGAAGAAGATCGTCGTATGCGTCGTCAGCGACGGTCGTGCCAAGATCAATCCGCGAACCCGTGCCGTGCTAGCTGGTCTCGGTGTATACCAGGACGGCATTGCCAAGCAGCAAGTTAACGGCAAGGATGTGACTGCCCATATCTACGAGTACACTACTCAGATGACACTTGACATCAAGAAGGGTGTTGTCAACGTCAAAAAGGGCAACACCCCTGTGCAAATGTTGTTCTGTCTCAAGGAAAAGAACCAGAAGAAGATCAACTCGCATCGTTGGTTCTTCCAGGCTTTCGGTGCTGTCCTAGATCCAAACATCTGCGTGCTCATTGATGCCGGTACCAAGCCTGGAAAGGACTCCGTGTACCAGCTATGGAAGGCCTTTGATCTCGAGCCTATGTGCGCTGGAGCCTGTGGTGAGATCAAGGCCATGTTGGTGCATGGAAAGAAGCTTCTGAATCCGCTCGTAGCAACTCAAAACTTTGAGTACAAGATGAGTAATATTTTGGATAAGCCTTTGGAATCTGCCTTTGGTTTCATTACTGTGCTTCCTGGTGCTTTCTCAGCCTACAGATATGTCGCCCTCCAGAACGACAAGACTGGACAGGGTCCATTGGAGAAGTATTTCGCCGGTGAGAAGATGCACGGCGCCAACGCTGGCATCTTCACTGCAAACATGTACCTGGCTGAAGATCGTATTCTTTGCTTCGAGCTCGTCTCCAAACGCAATTGCCACTGGATCTTGCAATACGTAAAGTCGGCCACCGGAGAAACTGACGTTCCTACCACCATGGCCGAGTTTATCAGTCAGCGTCGTCGTTGGCTTAATGGTTCCTTCTTCGCTGCTGTCTACGCCTTGGCTCACTCCTTCGACATCTTCCGTAGTGATCACTCTTTCTTGCGAAAAATGATGTTCCTCATCGAATTCGTCTACCAGACAATTAGCATGATCTTCGCTTGGTTCGCTCTCGGCAACTTCTTCCTCGTCTTCCGTATCCTCACGGCTTCTCTGCAGAATGAACTCGGCACTGCTGGCAAGGTTCTCTTCATTGTGTTCGAATGGCTCTACATTGCTGTCTTGATCACCTGTTTCATCCTGTCATTGGGCAATCGACCGCAGGGCTCCAACAAGTGGTACATGTCCATGGTCTACTTTTGGTGTATCATCATGGCATATCTCATGTTTGCATCCATCTTCATCAGCGTTCGTTCCGTCCAGGGCCAGATTGCTACCAATGGCGGCTTCAACTTTGGGGACCTGTTCAAGGATAGGATCTTCGCGACATTGATCATCTCGCTACTCTCGACATACGTCATGTGGTTCCTCGTCTCCATCATCTTCTTGGATCCGTGGCACATGTTCACTTCCTTCTTCCAATATCTTCTCATGACCCCGACATACATCAACATTCTCAACGTCTACGCTTTCTGTAACACGCACGACATCACCTGGGGTACAAAGGGAGATGACAAACCAGAAAAGCTGCCTTCAGTCGTCACAAAAGCCGACGGTAAAGCCGATATTCAAGCGCCCACTGACGATGCCGATCTCAACACGCAATATGAGGAAGAGCTAAAGGTGTTTAGCAGCAAGTGGGTTGAGGAGAAGAAGGTTCCTTCGGCGAGCGAGAAGCAGGAAGATTACTACAAGGGTTTCCGATCCGGTGTCGTCTTGTTCTGGATGTTTTGCAACTTGGGCCTGACAGCCTTGGTTCTGCAGTCGGGTGGCCTGGAGCTTACCGTCAGCACTCCAGATGAGGCGCAGAAGAAGAGGAACGATGCTGCTACCATCTATCTGGCTGTTGTTCTGTACAGCGTTGCAGGCTTGTCAGCTTTCAGGTTCGTTGGTGCCATGTGGTTCTTGGTTGTCCGAGCGGTAAGTGGAACCTGGAAGACAATACACGAAGAGTCTATGCTGACATTTCTTATTAGTTCCGCGGTGTCTAGGTTTGGTCATGTTTGGTTTTTTGTTCAATTGGGGACCCAACTTAGGGCGTGTCCGCCTACGCATCTTGTAGGAGTTTTTCGGGTTTGTGTGACTACGGGGAGCGTATCGTCGCATTACGAATAGGCATTTGTTGTCTCACGTGGGAGTTTTATGACATGATACCAGCATCTTTTTCTTTTAGGACAAAGAGACACGTCCCGTCCTGGTTTCTGGGTGGCATGTGTCCTGATGAGCTGAATTTCACTTATGTATCCAACAACGTAAAACATATTCAAGCTTTTTTCTTTCTAGCCACTGCAGTATTGTATGCGTCCCTCTACTTCACTTACAGCATAGTGAGAGATCTATCTCACCTGTGATACTATCTGTTGCAAGACATGCCGCCTTATTCACTCTCACCTTCAGTCGGACCTGCAGGTCTGAGCACGGACCCCTGACGTGGTAAATAAAGTAGGAGGCACCAGTGCCACTCCCTCCTCTCCACGGCAAACTTTTCAACTTGTGTCAGTCAACTGCTTCAAGTTTTGCTCTCCTACTGCAAGACTTTCTCTTCCTATTATACGCAAACAACACCGTAGCTTCACTGCAGCAAGCGTCACTCACTATGAGCTGGGACACGGGCGGTACTTCAGGTGAGTGGCACGGCACACGAATGCGGTGAGCTTACACTAATCTTCTGTGCAGGCGATGTCCCTAGTTGGGATCCTGCTCCGACTGGTGGTGATGACTGGGGTGGTGGCAGTAACAACACTCGTGCCGATGCTGGTGCCGACGCTGGTGCCGACAACAGCTGCCGCATGTGAGTGAGACTCAGAACCATCACTTTGGCTATACTGACACGCGTAAACAGTTGTAAGCAGCCAGGTCACTACGCCCGTGACTGCCCCTCAAAGCCTGAGGGTAACGGCGGTCTAACCGGAGAGTGCTTCAACTGTGGCCAAGTTGGTCACAACAAGGCTGACTGTACGAACGAGCGTGTTCAGCGTCCTTTCGATGGTGTCTGCAAGCTCTGTGACCAGCAGGGTCACCGTGCTATGGATTGCAAGTCTCGTCGTTCGGTCAACTGGTCCGGTGTCCCGGAGATGGATGCCGAAGCTGCATGGGTTTCTCTCATCGATGCCGCTAAAGCAAAAGACTTTGACGTGTTCCGTGTCTGTCTGAAGGCGTACGCCCGTGCCACCATGGACCAGTTCGATCTTCCAGCTGTGGAGCAAGCTCTGCGTGATGATGGCCTCGGCATCTATCTTATTGCCAAAAAGGAGGAGATTCCCATCAACATGACCATTGTCGATCTCATCGGCAACCCTGATCGCGAGTATGTCTTGACTTTCCAGCTCTCTCCAAAGCCTCGTCGCCCCAAGTTGGCCCAAGGTTGGCCCGAGAGCCCTGCTCAGAACATGGAGCGTCTTGCATCTTGTGGCGAAGTCAAAGACTGTGGTATACCACTATGTGCCAACTGCGGTGAGCTTGGTCACATTCGCAAGGTCAGTACACCTAACCCAGCCTCCTGACTTGAAGAATTTCGGACTAACATACAAGCAGCACTGCAAGCAAGAGCAAGTTGAACGCCAGACGCACCAGCCCGAGATCCAGTGCGTGAACTGTAAGGAAATCGGCCATCGATCCCGCGATTGCACCAAAGAGCGCTTCAACCCCTTTGCCTGCAGGAACTGCAAGCAGGAAGGCCACAACGCCAAGGATTGTCCCGAGCCTCGTTCAGCTGAGGGTGTCGAGTGCCGCAAGTGCAACGAGATTGGTCACTTTTCCAAGGATGTCAGTGCATACATTGATACTGGTTATACAGTACGTACTGACAGCTCATAGTGCCCTAACGTTGCTGCCCGTACCTGCCGCAACTGTGAATCGACCGAGCACATGGTCAAGGAGTGCGACCAGCCTCGCAATCCCGACACCGTCATCTGTCGTAATTGTGAGCAGATGGGCCATTTCTCCCGTGATTGCCCCGAACCCAAGGACTGGCCCAAGCACAAGTGCAGCAACTGCGGTGAGCTGGGACATGGCCCCAAGGTAAGCATTCCTTGTATTGGGAAAGGAATCTGTGCTAACCTAAACAGCGTTGCAAGGCTCCGATTGCTGATACCAACGGCGATACCGCTGGTGATGCTGGTGGTGGCTGGGGTGGAGATACGGGCGACTCTGCTACTGCTACTGGCGAAGCTTCTTGGAATGACGGTGGTAATGGAGGTTGGTAGACCTATGCCACAGCGTCATTTACTCCGGAAGATCGTTCTTGTCCGAGTCAGCAGAGCAGGCCATGGACAAATATGGTCAAGGTGGACATAATGGGATGTCTTGTATTTTGCATGGACACTTGTGAATGATGATAAGAGGAGATGGTCATTGTCATGAATGCGTAATGGCGGGGTATTCATGTTAGGTTCGGTTGAAATGGAACTCTTGTATGGCCATTGTGCTGATGCGGTGACCATGAACGTTTGTGCCGTTGGTGACGTCTTAGCTTGGTGAAGAGGCGTTATTTTAGAGTGTCTTTTGAACTGTGTGTTTGGATCTCTGAATATTATCAGCTAGAAGCGGGTGTTTTGAGCATAGCGAATCAGCCATGGATTGGATACTATGGCCCTGCTGAATAGGTACCTCAGTATGCCGACTACTCATCTCCGAGGGCCAAAGAACGCATATGGCACGGTTTGTTCTTCAGGTATAACTCAATGATTGCATTTCCTCATCACACAGAACCTACATATCTCCCACCCAAACGCAATGACTAAGTTACCAAAACCTACAAAAGAAAAGAAAAACGATGGGGTATCAACGTACACAAATCATACGCTCTTCTACATAACACATCCCCCCCCATACACGTGAACAAAACATGCACATTACTACCATCTTTCAACGCTTCCTCCTCACCCTCTCCACGCTATCCACCACCACCTCGGTGGTACAAAGAATCTTACTGGCATCCTCGCCCCCCACCTGCGCATGCAGTATCCTCTCCTGACTACTCGTAGGCACCTCATTCCTACCACTATACACGACATTCTTCTGGGCATTCGGCCCGCCGCCGCCGCCCGCCAGCGTGTCACGCAAGCTCCCGCGATTTGCCATTTCAAAGGTTTCGTCAATGGTCAAGGTGGTGGTGGTGGGCGACGCCTTTGTGGTGTTGAGGAAGCTGGCGCGCGGTTTGTGGGCGCGGCCGCTGCCAATGGTTTCGGCGTGCTCGATGTCGTTGTAGGCGCTGCGGCGCGGGGTGCGAGATGAGGGGGTGGAGCGCAGGAGGGGTTTGAGGGTAGGGATGCAGGCGGCGATTATGCCGACGTTGAGTTGGAGGCTGGGAAGTGAGTTAGATTGTGGATCTTTTTTTTGGTTGGAAGGGGAAGGTTGCACTTACAAGCCGTAGACGTTTAAGTGCTGGTTACTATGAGAGATGTTAGTGAGGTTGGTTGGAGAGAGAGAGAGAAAGATAGAGAGAGAGAAAGATAGAGAGAGAGAAAGATAGAGAGAGAGAGAGACAGAGAGAGTGTGTGGATTGGGTGGAACTTACAATGTCCTATCTGGATCTCGTTTGACTTGGTAACTCGCTTTTACTATTCCTAGGGCAACGGCACTATCGGATTGTTAGTGGTGGGAGGCTTGTGAGCACCTGGTTCATGCTGCTTACATGTATCCGAGGCTGAGGACGCCGATCAAGTTGATACGCGTAGTCCGCGACATTTGTAAACTCCAGATGATTGGAATTGGCAGAGTCGCAAAGCAGACATCAGTAAAAATGTTCAAAGCTATCGCGTGTCAGTAGAGGCCTCGCACTGTTTGTTATGCGCTTACCCGTGTTCGTCAGTGCGAACGCGATAAACATCTTCTGGCTGTAGCAGACACCTTTCCTTGTCCACATTGCTTCCATGGGCTTGCAATACAGGAAGAAGCTGAGCCATGCGCCAATCGTGTAGATTGTTACCAAAGCTGTTCGATGATGTTAGGGTCATGACTCAGGCTCTCAAACACCATTCTTACCTATCAGTGCCCATAGGCAGCGCGAATACCACTTCCACATGTTGTTATTTTTCAGTCTCAGCAGAAAGAGAGCGATGGAGATCTTCAATAGCCCAAGAGCACCAATGGCAGAAATGATACTGCCAAAGAAGCCTATGTGAGTGAACTCCTCCATATCTTCCTTGGAAACCACCTTGGCGTGTCTTCCAAAGCCATGGTTTCCCTGAAGAATAAAGCAGATCCACCCACCCAGAGCCCCAAGCTGGTATTTGTCAGGAATGTTCAACCAAACAGTGAAGCCTGTGTACGTACAGCTGCGAGTACAATGGCAATGTCGTCTTTCCCCAGAGACCGCAGTAAGCCCAATCGAACAAATAGTCGGAGGGCAACACTAGTCAGTGCGGCGATATGGAAAACGCCCGTCAATGCGAGAAGGCGAGGAAGGTTGTTCTCGGCCGCCCATTTGGGGTCCACAGGAGGGCCCACCGAAGTCGAAGACATGATCGTCGCGGACGAACGCAAACCAGTGGGGCGCAAAAACTGAACAACAAAAGAAAGTAATATCGAACATTAAAAGAATGAAAACACGATGCCCTCTTCTCTGGCGCTGGCAGACAGGAACTCGCTTCCAACCAAGCGTTTCACAGCGCACTCATGACACTCTTGCATTACTTTGGGATCAGACGGGCCTTCCTACCATGCATCACAGCAGCTGCTCCATTAGGTATATGTCTATCGGACATAGTTGCGCCATGTGGAACTCGTCCATGTTTGTCCTTCTAGGCGTCTTGGCCATCCAAGCGGAGTGCTGCCATGGCTGTGATAGAGCTGCTACTATTGGGTGTACTCGTGAACACCAAGTCGTGTAAATTGTCAACACTGCAATCCTCCCGGATCCGCCAACGTCTACCGTATTCCTTACGGAGAGGCTTCAGGCTCTTCGTTGTCCTGAGTCTTGCAGAAAATTGCAAGAGACAGTTGCGGAAAATGGGAGAATGAGAAGGGAGTTTGCTGATGGTAGTACAAGCCTTACTTTAACTTCCCTATGTAAGAAAGTACTTAGATGAGCGTGGCGTAGTTGGTGTGTGTGTGTATGTACGGAGAACGCATGCAGCAATACCGTACGATGGCTGTGTATTGTGGCATTACCCGGCGGGACATGGACTACTTTGAGACGTAGTCGCGAACGTGTTTAATTAATCGCTGCGGTCCCTGCAGACTCACCAACCACAGCAAAGCAATCGTCCCGGCCCCCGTCGCCCCCCGTCGTCCCGCCCTTCCTTCGCGGCACGGTTTGCACTTCCCCTGGCAATCTTCCACCAACCCGGCGTACCGAACAAGCATGACTCGCTTCAACTTTTCCGGACTTCGGCCTTTGCAAAACGCCACTTGAGGCAAAGAGAAGGACTTGGTGGCAATGTGGGTTTGGCATGGCGCAGTTCCATACTTGATCTTGCCCGTTCTCCGCTTCGTGAATGCAAACCAACTTTTGGCCCCTCATGCGTGCCATCTGCGCGCGTGTATCGATTGAGGCTTGACAGATGCTTGGCAATCCTGCGAGCCCACATGGATCAAGATACCATGCATGCGGCCTGTTCGAACAAATGAATTCTTGAATGGTGATGGGCGTATTTGCATGTTGTCGACAGTCAAGGCAATGAGCGACGCACGCCTTAACAATCGCCTCACCAGCATATAATCTACCTCATACTCTACACTCTACACTACAAGAGTGATATCCAAATGCCTACGGTACTTCGACCCACAGTCCAAGACCTCGGTATCACACGAGTCATGCCCACCCTCTCAGCCCGGTATGGGCTTCACATGGGCCGCGTCTAGGACATGAATCGGGCTCGTCACCAGCTATTTCTAGACATAGAACCAACACCAATCGCTCATGGACGGCCTTGGGTACGGATACAGCTGGCCGATCCATGTCGGTGCATGCGCCTCCAAGTCGGCCTACGTCCCATAAAGCCCATATTAGACGCGCTGTACGCAGTTTTACATTGAAGTTTCCTTCTTCAGCAGCCAACACTCTTGTTTCACGCTCCCTTACAAGATGCGTCTCCTTGGCCTCCCTACCGCTATCCTGGCATTGGCCAGCATAGTCGAGTCTGCTGCGCTTCAACGCCGCGATGTTATCCAAGATCTACAGGATCAAGCGATTGCGGCATTGAAAGAGGCGGAGAACAACGGTTCCCTTGAAAGGAGAGCGAGCTGCTCGGTCTTCAACGCACCTGTCAGGAGGAATTGGTAAGATGGTGTGTTCTTCTGTTTTGCCAATCAAAACTAACAAGCCCCGAGGGATCATTTGAGCAAGAAAGAGCGCAGGGAATATATCAGCGCTGTGAAATGCTTACAGTCCCTGCCTTCAAAGTCCGACCCAGCACTGGTTCCAGGCGCCAAAACGCGATTTGATGACTTTGTCGGACAGCACATCAACCAGACGCGATCCATCCATGGCACTGGAAACTTCTTGACCTGGCATAGGTATTTCACTTTTGCCTATGAAAAGACTCTGAGGCAAGAATGTGGCTACAAAGGCTACCAGCCTTACTGGAACTGGTTCAGTTACCAGGATGACGTTACAAAATCTCCTGTTTTTGACGGATCCGATACAAGTATGGGTGGTGATGGCTCCTTTGTCGCGCACAACGGAAGTGTAGGTGGCGGTGGAACCATTTTCCTCCCTTCAGGCAATGGTGGAGGTTGCATCAAGAGCGGACCGTTTGAGGGGTCAGTACTCCCCGTACATACATTGAAAGTTTCCCTGACTGACTGTGCTAGTGTGCAAATCAACCTCGGTCCCGTGAGCCCAGCAATGGCTGGAGAGACCAAGGTCGCACAGCCACTCGACTTCAATCCTCGTTGCGCAAAGCGAGACATCACGTCGTATGCAGCAAAAACCTGGTTCACCAACACGAATCTGCTCAACGTCACAATCGGCGCTGCCTCCAAGAACATTGGCACTTTCCAGGACGAACTCCAAGGTCGCTTCGGTGATCGCTTCTTGGGCCTGCACGCCTCTGGACACTACATCATGGGTGGAGACGGCGGAGACTTTTACAGCAGTCCCAATGACCCTGTCTTCTATCTGCACCATGCCATGGTGGACCGTGTGTGGTGGATCTGGCAAGCTCTTCATCTTAACCAAGCCAACACTATCGCGGGTAATGTCGCTGCATTCCAACCCAACAGTGCAAAGACTCAACTCAAGGACATTATCGAGATGAATTGGCTGAACATAGAGCCAAAGACAATTGAGGAGCTCCTGGACACGTTGGATGCAGACCCGTTCTGTTACATCTACTTGTAATGCTTAATGAATATAGAAGTGTATATACTCGATATAATAGATTATTGTGAATATCTAGACGGAGAAACATAACTGCAAAGTTAGTGATGCATAATTGTCGACGTTGTATTTACCTTGGTGTACCAAAGTTAATGCAGCTGTGCGCTCCGCGGCACGCTGATTGGTTCGATCACGATCTACCGTCGAGTCCAGACCATCGGTTGTGCAACCTCTATCGAATTCAATGTCACGATACATTTCTAGAAAAAAACACAATGCAATGACGACTTCTATTTCCATCATCGGTGCAGGCATTGCAGGCTTGACGCTGGGCCGCAGTCTCTTACGCCGTGGCATTCCAGCTATCTTGTACGAAAAAGCAGCTTTGAAGCCCAGATTCAACTACGGCATCACTTTGCACGCGACAGCTTACAAACCACTCCTCAAACTTCTCGAAATTGATGAGGATGTGTTCAAGAGACGGGTAGCTGTTGATGCAGAGAATGATGGCTATGGAAAGATTGGCTTAAGTGTAGAGCTTCCAAGTCATGACGGCTTGTACGACACTCAGTCCTCTTTCCGTGCCAACAAAAACAAGCTGGAGCAGTTGTTGCGCGAAGGACTCGATATCCGGTGGGAACATTCGCTCGAGAGCGTAGAACCCTCTCTGAAAGGCACTAAGCTGCAGTTTCAGAACGGGGAGACAAATACAGCAAACATCATCATTGCGGCGGATGGTGTGCATTCGAGCATTCGAAAGCTTTTGTTACCATCCGCACAGCCTACTGTCTTGCCATATATCGTCTTCAGTGGGAGGAGGAAAATTGATCACGAGGCATTCGACAAGCTGTACGCGCCTGCGATGAGGGAAGCAAATGTCATTGAAGCGAAACGCGATGACGTGGTGCTCAATATCAGCGTCAACGAGAAGAAAGCCGAGGAAGTCAGCATCAGCTGGATATACTCACGCGCAGTACGCAGTGACTCGGATCTTCTTCACCAGCCGAACCGATCCACGGCAGACGCCAAAAAGATTCCCGAAAAACTATTTGAAGAAGCTCGAATTCTCAGTGGTCTCCAGCCTCCTTTCTCGGAAGTTTTCGATGCGCAGAAGATGCGAGGTGACAGGATACTTCATTGGCTCATGCGAACCCTACTGCCCCCATTGCTAGACATCCAAAGGCTGGCCGAAGACACTGGGGTGTGCTTCATAGGTGAAGCTGTTCATGCGGAACCAATTATCGGGGGCAACGGCGCCAACGCAGCCATTCTTGATGCGCTCTCGCTCGCGGACCAGATTGCGAGTGGCGATAGGGCGAGCATATCGAATTGGTATAACGAAATGTACCCGGTGTGGACGAAAGGAGTGGAGCGGAGCCGAGAGAGTATTGCCAATACGCATCGGCCGGTTAAGTCGGTTTCTGGTAATCTCTAAGGAGGAGGATGCTTGGTGTAGTGGAGAGGATTCTTGGGTGTGCAACTCAGGTTCTTGAACAGTTATACAGATAGAGACACACAAAGAGACCCGTGAGAAAATGCGTATACACAGCAAACGCAGTCTGACCTTCCAGCGTGACACCCATGACCGATAATTGACGTACGCACTCTAGATCCTACCTTCATCTCCCCAGCCCCCTCTATAGCACTTCGTATGTACACCAAACCCCCGGAACTCCCCTTGCAGGTATGATTCCTTCTTATCGCCTCTCAACCCCACCTTCCCTCCTCTCCCCAAAAAAGTCACCGGAATAAGAAAAAAAAAAGAGCGCAGTAGCGTACCAAATTCCCTACCTGCCCGCTCCTGTGCCCTTTCAAAAGGACCCTATACCCCGGACCCCTTCTAGCCGCCAATGCGCACATGCGGGCATTACCCTACCCACTTTTGTACCACGGCCATGGACAGCCGTCTTAGCGCCAAGCCAAATACCCGCCGCTACAGCCACCAATGTAGTACGCCCACCTTTCTCCGTCCTCGGTACCAATCACCCTCCTTACCTTTTTTTTTCTCTCTCCTCGCTCCGTCGTATGTTTGAAGGGCAAGGGCATGCGGGATATATGTGTGGGTGGGTGTGTTGAGTGTGGTAAGGATGCTAGAAAACTAGTGAATGAGTCGATTATGCCGGAGAAGGAAGGTGACGCAATACACCCTCTTTTTTTTTTGTCTGGCGGCGTGGGCGCGTAGGAGTTGGGTTTGGATTCTTTTGCGTTTGCTTTTGGACAAGGCTAGAACTACTATGCGAGGGAGGGAGGGGAGGTGGGATCACTACCATCTCGTGGCACAATGTCACTTGACAGGCTGGTTTGCAGTCAAGTGGTGGCGGTGTTGGATGTTGGTATGTTGGATTACCTAACTTCTACGTACGTATTTGCATGCGAGAACAAAAAAAAAGAGTGACTAGTGGCAAGTAGCGCAAAAGAGACCGGGACATCGTAGGCTGGGGGTGTGCCACGGCGTGAGCAGCCTGATCTGCACTGTGCCGCAACGTGAGGCTATACGTAAGTGTAGTACGGCGCGGTGGACCAGTGCAAAGGGATTGCGTACGGCACGGGTATTGTCTGTGCCGCGGCGGCTGTGTGGAGACGACGCGGCGAGATAAGGCGTCTTCGGCGTAATATGTGAGAATCGAGACTGAGCGTGTTGGGCGAATGCAGGCTAGGAGAGCGGTCTCGTGCCATTCCTTCGGAGTGGCCAGAACCAGCTCAGTAGTATGGTTGAAGTGGGTTTAGCTAGGGTCCTTTGTGTAACGCATTGACACGTTAGCTATGGGTGGAGACTGACGGAAAAGATACGAGATCCACGCGGACATGTGAAGAAGAATCACCAAGATCACGATGTCAGAATTCGAAAACCACCATGGTAAGAGTTAAAGCGCTGAATGAGTTGTTTATGCAAACCAAACAATGCATAGTTTCTATAAACGCCGTATTGCCCTGGATATTGCCTCTATTTCAAGACTAAAACACTGGTAGAATCCATGCATACTAAAACGGAAAGGGTATCGTGATTAAAAACAAGAAACATGAAGAAGAAAGAAAAAATGATACAGTGACGAAGAAAAAGCCTGCACACTTGATCCCATGATCCAAGTTCCTGGGAAAAGACAGTTGTAGCCGCGCGCGACCATCTTATGCACATAGACAAAGGTCATGGGGAGCACAGAAAGTTTGGTGTTGTCGTAACATTATCGAAACGAGCGTCGTAAGCCCAGCGCTTACTGCTTTGGACCATAGACCCAGTCTGACAGGTGTTAGTGGCCGAATGCTATGCGGAGACATGTGATATTCTCTATGGACTTACACTGTGCAGCGTACTTGACTTCCCATGCAGGTGGCATGCCCTGGCATGTCGCAGGCTTGTTGCCACCAGCAGTCTCCACACGATAGACAGTGGTGATGCCTCCTTGGGCGATACCCGCCTTGTGCTGCAGGTAGAGCCACTGGATAGCGGGAAGGCCGTTCTTTCCTGAGCATGCAGTCTTGGGTGCATCGACGGCGCCGAGTTTGGCGACCTGGCACAGAGGGTATGGGGTGCTGAGCTGGTCGAAGGCGAATGTTGGGGTGTTTGTTCCAGCAACATCGGCGAAGAAGTGGTGTCCAGCAACATTTTGAAAGCCTTGAGCTTGAAGACTCATGTCGACTAGTTGGGGGGCCCATTCGGCCATGGAGAGGGCAAGGGGGGAGATGGTTGCAATCTTCCATTTTGCATCTCGGTCGTTGTTGAGTTTCGTACCGATATCGTACAAGGTGGCTGGGAAGGCAAACGTTAGGGCTGCTTCTGTATGCAATTCAAAAAGAAGGGACTTACCAACAGCACCAGTAGTACCAGGAACTGCGCTTGCATTTGCACAGGTATAGTTCTGTGTACCGATTCCAAGTACAACATACTTGAGTGCCATACCATCCGGGCTTGTAAGGTCACTTTGAGGGAAGAGTTTGGCAAGATTGTCGAGATTTTTCGCAGGAGTGTAGTTGTGCGGCTTTCCAGGAGCCGGGGGAAGAGCAACTGCATAAGCAGAAGTGGCATAGAAGAATGCTGCCGCGATTGCAGAGAAGAGCATATTGACGAATGTTGGCACAAGTTGACGTTGGGAGAGTTGTTGATAATGTAATGTCTGAGTAGAACCAAAGGAGCCTGTCCCTTATTCTTTGCCAATGTCGAGGTGTTCGAGGAGGTACTTGTTGTATCACGACTTTCTGGCGCTGGCGGTTGGATACACTTATACCTTCTACACTGAACTTTGTCCTGGGCCGTTCGGCAGGCGGCCTGCATGGGTGTGCATGCGCTGCCATGTGTATGTACGTCAACACAGACCACCATCCTGACCAGATCTATAATATCAATCCTTGAAGCGACATGCACACCAAAGGCTGGTGAGACCTGGAGGTGGCCCTAGCGCGTCAGGGTGGCCGTTCTTGTGCATAGCACTTTGCCGCTCCTGGCAAGCTGGGTAAAAGGCTTGTACCTCCTATAAGCGCTGATACGTGCACACTCAAGCCCCAATCGAGGAATGTGGAGAGCGCTACGATGGACATCTGTTTTTCTGCTGAGCCGCGTTCCCGTGGCGCCGTCTTTTTTGGTGCTGAGCCTCTATTTGCGCATGTGGGCGTGGATAGATGTTGGCATCTTAGCCAGCAGCTCCATAGCCAAGGCAGAAACCAACAGCATGGGCGAGGATTTGGCGTAGGGAGGTGGCATGGCCGTCTCACTCTTTCGATAATTCTCAAAGGAATTTACAGTTTCAGTGTCGGACCTTCCCGACGAAGACCAAACACCGGCACAGATTCGGTAATTCCACAACTTGGAGGTCGGGTTCGCGCTCGTGTGTCCGAACGGGAGGCTGGCTTGAGGTCCGAGCACTTTGGCTTTCACTGCCTGTCTGTGCGCTGCAGGCGCCTTGCATACGTCTGGCCGATAAAAAGACCTGATGTGGCCCAACAATGACAGCAAATGACCCGATAGTGGTATGCACGCTCTATCGAAAGCCCCGCTTCGAGCCGTAATGCGGGCTAATTAATTGGGTCTATATCAGAGGCCGACGGAAGATACGGCAGTCATAAGCTCCCTGTCAGACCGTTGGAACGTTGGAACATTGCTGCCTCGTTGCCTGAGGATTACGGCATGGGTCGCGTTGGTGTCTCATCGATGACGAGTCTATTGAAACACATTCTTTTTGCACAGCTTCGGCTAGGCGCGTCTATCCTGACGCTCGCTGTGTAAGAGGTTGAGCATGCTCTCTCCAGCTGACTCCGGATTTTTTTTGTTTCTGGCCCAGTTTTCTATATCTGTACGAGCAGGGGGGGTTCGCCTTGCCTAGTCATGGATACCGGCAAACATGCTTGATGAAACCTCCTCTATAGGGAAGCTGTATAAGCGGAAGTCTGCTGAGCAAAGTTGTGCTCCGGACTTCGAGACCCGAATATTCGCAAGCCGCAAAATGTGCTCCTATCGTCTGACAACCCATGGAGCCATTCCAGGTAGGTAGATGATAAGAGAGGGGTAAGTAAGTAATGTTGGCGTGTTAGTGTGCTGCATGGCGGCCAAAGGAGTGATATTAGCCCGCTTTCTCTTTCGCTGCGCTGCGCAGTCAGCTTGCACTTGCACTTAGTGGAGCACAGCAAGCTAGCGGGTGCGCCCGTGGTGCATCATGGGACAACGTCGGGGAGACAATGAACAAAATCACCCCGACGTTTCCTCAGGACGCGCAAGGCCAGCACCGTGCGAAGGATCCGCAAACTCGAACGACTGTTTGTAAATCCATCGAGTTCGCATGGTGAACTGTGTCAGAACACGAAGCGAACTGTTTCAGCGATCCCACACTACTCCGCGACACTTCCCCAACCTAACGAACGCCTGCGGGAGGCAGCCTTGATTTTGTGGACATCGCTCTTGGTAACGGGCCGTTGTTTGGATCCGCATTTTGGCGTGCTTCTCAAACAGCTTGACGGGTAGCTTCTGTGTAAGCTGTACTGTGACATCTGAGACTGTGACATTTGTCGTGACAGCAGATGCGCCCCGTCCTGCCTGTAATCTACCGTGTACTTTTGTTTCTCGAACCAGCCCAAGTCGGTACGGTGAATACTGAAGCCGTATCCAATTCAGCCGACCACGGACAATTGTACCATTTCCTTGGATCGCCCATCGCGGCTGTCAAGTTTCGTATTTCTCACACCTCTGACATGGCGCCGTGATTCTCAACCCTTTTATTTCGAATATGTGTAGTATAGGAGTGAGCAATTATATGGCGAGAGTGTGGCGGACAATCCCCAGGAAACCGTGACTTTTGAACTCCAGACAAGGGAGCGTTAGTAAAAGTGGGGCTAGTTCTCGCCACAGCTCTTTCGCCTGGCTTGACAGTCGTCGTGCAGTACCGTGCTTACTCCAACACCAAGGTGCCATCAACCAGCACTGAACGAGCAGCTAGCCAAGACATCGTCATGGCAGTTGTAGGTGATCACGAAACTTCAGGTTTTTGGCTATCGCTGGTGCCGTTGGCTAGCTTGCATCCAATAGTTGCAGGTGTATTGCTTATCACCGTGGTAAGAACACCTCCATCAACACCCTGCCGAAGCTCATGTTTCAATCAAGCCTATATTCGCATACGCCTTCTATAACTTGTTCCTGCATCCTCTCCGAGGTTACCCCGGGCCACTATTGTGGCGCTGTTTCCGCTTCCCGTACGTTGTCTCCACCCAACGCGGGCAGATCCACAGGCGTTACAATGAGTTTCATGCCAAGTATGGGCCTATTGTACGCATAGCACCAAACGAGCTGTCTTATGCCGATGGCCGGGCCTTCGGAGACATTTATGCCAACCGGCCCGGACATCAGCCCTTTGAGAAGACGCGAACCTACTTCAAAAAGATGACGCCAGATGAGCCAACTACAATCATGGATTGGCATGAAGATAACCACGCAAGGTATCGACGTGCTTTCACCAACGCTTTCTCAGAAAAGAGTCTCAAGAGCCAGGCCCCAATCATAGAGCAGCATGTTGATGGCTTCATGGCACAACTAAAGAAACGTAACACCGTAGACCTCACCGACTGGTTCAATTTTCTCACTTTTGACCTCGCTGGCGACCTTACTTATGGCGAGTCTTTTGGATGTGTTGACAACGGGAAAGCACATCCGTGGGTCGAGATTGCACAGGATTTTGGCAAGGGACTTTCTATAATTGCAGCAGTCAATCTTTACCCCCCTATTGACAAGGTCTTGCGATACATTATCCCAAAGCGGATTCTGCAACGGAGTGTAGACCATCGCCAGATGAGTTATGCACAGGCCAAAAAGCGGATAGCACGAGATGTAGAGCGATCAGATTGGGTGACGCCAACGAAAAAGTACACTGATCAGAAAGACCAGTTCACAGACCAGGAGTGGGGCATGAACTTGTTGGTAATAGCGTTTGCCGGAAGCGAAACCACGGCCAGTGCACTAACCGCCATTACGAGGATGCTGGTTCAACACCGAGGTGTTCTTCATCGTTTGACACGTGAGGTTCGAGAAAGGTTTCAAAACGAAAGCGACATTACCGTTGCAACAACAAGCGACCTGCCGTTCCTCAACGCGGTAATACACGAAGGCATGCGTCTTGGCCCGCCTGTTGTTATCGGATTACCCCGAGTCGTGCCAGATGGTGGGGATCTGGTGTGTGATCGCTGGGTTCCTGGCGGAGTAAGATGCATTTTTGGTCATATCCAATGTTTCACAGCTGACACAACATGTTCTAGACCTATGTCGTTTTTAACCAATTCTCCGCATTTCGCCAGTCATACAACTTTTCCAATCCCAACTCATTCATCCCGGAGCGCTTTCTCACCCCCAATAAAAACGACGATATGACAGTATTCCAGCCTTTCCAGATGGGCAGACACGTGTGCATAGGCATGAAAGTTGCCTATCAGGAATTGCGGCTCATTCTTTCAAGGCTGTTATGGAGTTTTGATTTGGCATTGAAGGACCCGAGCGATGTATGGGACTGGGGTGAGCAAAGCACCTATATTTTTTGGGTAAGTGCGCCATTGGAATGATATTTTGATGAAGCAATTGCTAAAGGTGGATTAGGAAAAGAAGCCGTTAGAAGTTGCACTGCGCCACGTGAACAAGTGAAATATGGAGTTATGACACTTCCCTCAGTGTCCAATTTGAGTGGGCGGGTATGGAGATGAAAACAGGCAAGAATGTAATGATCGGATATTGCAAGCTCAGTATACCGTGAGATGGTAGTCATAGCATTATTTGTCCACTACCGCAAGTTTGTCCTTCTATCACTTCTTCTCTCCAAGTATTTATTCCAAAGAAAAGTAAGAATCATAGTACAAATCGCGCAGGATCAGACTGCAGTCTCAATCACGTAATTCTCAACTGCCAGCACATGATGATTGAGACAGTCATAGTCGCGCTGACAATGTTCGACTTGAGTGTAGCACGTATGGGTCGATCATCTATACCGGTGCTGATTTTGGACTTGCCTCAACCGCGCACGCCAGATTCGAATGTGCGCCTACAACGCGACGCCGTATACGTCGCGCTTGCTTCTGGCGGACTCGACGATTGGCATCCCACGACTAACATCCACACCAATTTTGATGCAGTACCATTGCAGGAGAGCACTTATGGCCATGGCGAATATCACGGAGCAGCTTTGCGCGCCTGGATAGCGCTTTGGTAGGCTTCCAAATCAACGTTGCCAGCATCCCAAATAAGGACGGCCTGAACCGAGACTGCCTTGTGCTTTGTCTGCTGCACATAACCGATGACGTTCAGCCAGGTGCCAACATCCACGTCTGTATTTTTGGCGCGTTCCAGCACATGCTCAATATCTAGGTAGGCAATGACAGGGTCGGCAAGTACGGGATAGTTGTGTTTGAGGCGTAAGGTTGCCGTCTTCACAGTGTACTCATCGATACTGCGTTGGTGTCAGCCGCTGCATGTTAGTCTCACGGGCGCGATATACCAGCCCAGGAAGCGGACTTTTGTGCCCCGCGCACATTTTGGGAGGTCGCTGAGCAACACAAGGCTGGAGGCAGGCGGAGCAGACGACATGGTGGTTGAAGACACAGAAGGCGGTAGAAACTAAGGCCGGGGTCCGCTGTGCACGTGCCAAGGTTAGTGCGAGCGACATCATACCCTCGTGCATCCAGGCCCGATTCATGACCAGCCAGGCAGCCCTCAAACACTTCAGCACCGCACCACCAACACTACAAACACGCCCGAATCCTCTTTCCTCCGCGACTCCTCTAAAGCTTTCTTCATCCTCCACACAGTACGTCCAAGTCGCGCATCGCCCCGCAGCCCCGCCATCCCACTCTTCGATAGGCACCCGAAGCGCCTATCTGAGCCCACAAGAGTAGCGTGCGATAAGTCCAGAGCTGATCGAGATATATAGAGCTACGTCAACATGAGCGGCTGGGGTCTGGGCTGGTTCGGCGGCGGCCAGGCGAAGAAGGAGGCCCCCAAGAAGGCCATCCTTCAGCTTCGCGGCCAGCTCGAGATGCTGAACAAGAGAGAGAAGCACCTGCAAAACCAAATGGACGAGCAGGATGCCTTGGCGCGAAAATACGTCTCTACCAACAAGCAAGGTACGTGTATATTGTCCCCTGTACTCCCCCGGATAACGTCGCTGACAGTCATCACAGCTGCCAAATCTGCATTACGGCGAAAGAAGCAGTTTGAGCATTCGCTCGAGCAGACAAGCTCCCAGATCATGACTCTCGAGCAGCAGATCTACTCTATTGAGTCGGCGAATATCAACAAGGAGACGCTGGATGCTATGAAGAATGCCGGCGCCGCCATGAAGCAGATACATGCTGGTCTAACTATTGACAAGGTTGACGACGTCATGTACGTCATACTCGAGATCGCTTATTTTCAGAACCAACCACTAACCGCATGTTTAGGGAGGGCCTGCGCGAACAACACGCTATTGGGGAAGAGATCAGCGAAGCAATTACCTCGAGCGTCGCCAACAACGGTATCGACGAGGACGAGCTAGACGAGGAACTGGCCGAACTACAACAAGAGAAGCTGGATGAGCAAATGCTCAATACTGGCAGTGTACCCATTCATGACGCGCCCTCGAGCCAAAAGTTGCCACAGGCGCCCAGCACGAATCCTAAGGCGCCGCAGCGAGTCGAGGAAGATGACGAGGAAGAGGAGCTGCGGAAACTGCAGGCGGAGATGGCCATGTAAGCTGACATGGCTCACACCAGATATGGACATCGCCAATGGGCGGTGATGGTCTTTAGGCGTATGGCGATATGGTCAGAAGCCCAGGTTATAGGCTTCAACTTTTTTTTCTCCCTTTGATTCCTCACTATTTCCCTTTTGTGTCACTTGCGGCATCTAGTTGTTTCTTTGGATCTTCGTATCGAATGCACCCAGACTTTGTGTTTGGAGGCTGCACGTAGCGAAGAATGGCAGGGAATGGAGTATATGGCAGGAAATGGAGAACATTAATACTTTGCAATCTCAGATGCAATTCAGTGTATGTTTTCCGTGGTGACTTGTTCCTTAGCTCGGTGGACCTTTTCTCTGGTAGCCAATCACCACTGAGCTTGTGTTTTGCCGTAGATAAGCGGCGCAATACTTACTGATTCGACAATTCCCAGAACAAAACATGGTCTACAAGCAGGTTACAACTGGTTGCATTTGTACACACATAGACGATTGTGGAAGAGGTAGGTGTAAAAGACGGGCTTTTTTGATCATTCATACATGCAGTAGCAGCCATTAGAGCGTGTGCTCCTATACTTTTTTTATCCGGTTCAAATTTCACTTTTGAGGGTTTACCATGGAGTACAAGCCAAAAACACCCATCTACGCCCATCCCCAAAGAGCAAAACTCCTGCTTAACTCCCCCTCCAATCAAGCTACGCTGTTGATGGGTATCGGATACAGTAGTTTCGCTCCATCACGTGTTAAACGCCGATAAGTAGCAGTCCGATAGGTTCAAAAAAACGCATAGTGGCCTATTTTTTTACAACTTTTCAAAGGGACAACCAAACACGACGCTGTTGCGCAAAAGAGTAGAGTTCAGTCGAGCTAAGGCTGAAAGAGGAAAGAATATACATGCCATCGCTGAATAGCTAAAACATTGTAAAAGCAAGACTCCTACTCCGTTTTTGCAGCTTCCTTGCTCGGCTCGGCCTTGGTGCTCTCTTCTGCTCGGGCCGAGCTATCTGCAGTCGACTCAGCCAATGGATGCCGCAACGGGGTGCCATTCGGGACTGCTGGTGAACCGGGAACAGGAGTGATAGGCTCGACGCTTGGGCGGTGTGACGGAGCTGTGGGAGGTGCGGGGGTTGAAGTCGAGTGTGGCCCCGTGGCAGGCGGTGCTGGCGATGCGCCAGTCATGTTGGGCATAAACTTTTGAGGTTCGCTGTTCTCGCGCGGAAGTGCTGGCGACGCTGAGTTGGTTCCTGATGGAGGCTGTCCAGCTGGCTTTTGTTGCTGCTGCTGGTGTTGAGTCAACGTGTTGGCTGCGGCATCTGCGGCGATTGCAGCTGCGGTGCCAGCGGCAGTAGCTGGTACAGTGACGGGTGTGTTCTCCGGTTTGGCAGCGACATTTCTCTTCACATGCTTGTTGATACTCTCCACACCGCAGATGGATTCGAGCAACTTTCTTTCAGGTTCCGTCAACGATGCTTCGGGCACGGTCCTGTCTACGCACGCCCGGATAGCATTGTCAACCTTCTTTTGCTCGTCAGGCCCTGGTCTCTTCTCCAAGTACACGAGACGATACGCTTCGAGCTGGCGAATGAGGTCTGGATGTACACCAATGGGGTACCGACCGGAAGGATGTGGAGCTGAGCCCTCATTTGATGAACCCTGATGTGCGGGAGCTTGGGACGGCGGTGGACCGTAAGGCGAGGCATTACGTTGGGCGGGTGATGCGGTAGGCGCATTGGCTTGCTGGCCGGCTGCGGGGTATGGCGGATACGGACGAGGCGGTGCTGGGCCATATGGACTGGCGCCAGTGGTAGCGTATGGCCCGCCATAAGGGCTTGGTGCCGAGGGCCCACTGTATGGTGATTGCTGTGGTGCGGCCGTCGGAAACAGGACACCATACTGCCCGCTTGGCCCGGCTGATGAGTTGGCGGTTGGCGTTTGCGCATTGGGTGGCGGGTAGGGCCGTGGAGGGTTTGCAGCTGGTGGGCTGGCGCCTGTGTTGCCACCGGCCCAAGGGGATGCATAGGGTGAAGGGTGGGGCGCATTTTGTGGCCCATTGGAAGCAGCAGCATTGCCTTCACCGCGAGCCATGCTAGGAGGTAGACGAGGCTGCGCAAGACTCGGGGGTAGTCTAGGTGGCGCTTGCGGCATGGCATGGGTCATGCCGGGATGATATGGATATCCAGGCTGGGGATAGGGCTGATACCCGTTGGGAGGCGGCTGATAGTATTGTGGTCGTGGTGCGTGATTGAGAGGAGGACTGGCTTGTCTCTTCCTGCGCTCCTTCTCGATCGAGACCTCGGGATTGATTCGCCAGAGGTATCCTTTGCCTTCTTTGTCGCCCTTCATGAAGGCATCGTGCTGACCTAGATTGTGTCGCACGCTAGATTGCCAGCCGCTCGTAGTCGTCTTGAACTTGTACCAAGGATACTTGCGCTCAATGTAGGTGTAGATGGACTGCAGATTCATCTGACCGGTAGGGGAGGATGAAATAGCTTCGTGAATAAGAACCACGTAGTTTGCAGTAGGACGTTGAAGCTGCTCTTCAGTGTAGTCTTCGATACGCATCTCGGGTGAAGGGGTCCGTGGTGGTCTCATCGGCTTGGCTTGTTTCTGGAGACCAGACAAAGTACCATCACCGTGCTCGGTAGACTCCACAATACCATCGTCTTCTCCGTCACCAGCATTCGACTCTTTGCGCTTGGGTGCTTTTGGCTTAATTGTCGGTATGGGTATATCGGCGGGATCGATACCAGCTGCCCTCGCTCTCTCGATGTCCTTGGCCTGCTTGATGAGCTGAGATCGCTGACGCTTTGACATGATGCCGTCTTTGGGTGGCCTGCCAGGACCCTTGCGCTTTTCAACCACGTGACCAATGAGGTTTCTGGGCAAGTTGTGCTGTATGGCCATTTCCTCTGTGATGAGACCGTCTATGTCGCCAGCTTCGAGCTCGCCTTCGTGTGGTTTGCGCAACAAAGGCGGGCTGTCATTTGGCGGAGGCTTGCTTGGCTGCTCAGTCTTAGTGGCCGCGGGAATGTCCTTGACAGACTCTTCGGCAGGTGCTTCGTCCTTGACAGTTGTCTTTGCAGGGGTCTTGGCCGGCGCTTTGCCCTTCTCCTTTGGTTCCTTTGGCTCCTTGGGTTCCTTCGGCTCTTTAGTCTCCTTGGACGGAATCGACTCCTTGTCCTTCCCATCCTTTTGCTCTCTTGACTCCTTGCGCTCTTTATGCGCTTTGGGTTCCTTGGCAGACTCACGAGCAGACTCTTTAGTCTTGCCCGAATCCTTGACTTTGATCTTAACCTTCTTTGCTGGAGGCTCTTCCGGAGTGAGTTCACGGTGCTGGGATTTCCTCTTGTGTGCCTTTTTGCTGTCTTTTGAGGTGGATGCTGGCGGTAGGTTCTTGATCTTGAGTTTGAGATTAGTCTTCTGGCGAGGCTTTGGAAGTGGCTCTTCGTAATCGTCCATTTCCTCGTCGGCCAATCCATCGTCATCGTCGCTGTCGCTTACGGGGTGGTGGTAATAGACGTGGCGCGGGTTGACGCTCTGTTGGTCTTCGCTCTCAGAACTGATGTGTTCGTCGCTTTCCAGCTGACCATTGCCGTTCTCAAAGGAAAAGCTCATAGGACGGGAGCCGGATTCTTGGCGATGTCGCTGCTGCTCGGTAAGTGCGACGTCGGGTAGATAGAAGTGGATATTGACAGCGCCTATGAGCAGGTGGTCGCCATGATCCAGAGGAACGGTTTCGCCCTTTGGGTAGAAGTCGCCCTCATGATGCAGGCCGTTGTTGCCCAAGACGTGTATGCAAAAGTGGCCAGCATCAAAGTCGAAGAAAATCTTGGCGTGCTCGCGCGAAATGCCCTTGGGCCCCAGAGAGCCGGTCTTGGCCATGATTTGCTGGGGGTGGATGGGCACGAAGGGACAGTCATTGGGATCTTCGGGCACATGACCGTCGAACTGGGCAGGCACTTCGGGAAAAGTTTGCATAAGCATGTTCTGGGGAGCGCGCTCGGCGGGGTTCTCTTCAGCAGCTTCGCCGGCTGGATGGGAGTTTGAGCTGAGGGAGTGGGAGGCATTGCTCTGGCGGCGCTGCTGGAACTCCATTGGCATGGACTCGATAGGCACGTTGACGATGCCACCTTTCTCTGAGATGACGCTGCGAGCACCGCGACGGTCGCGCTTCTTCTTCTTGCGGTCCTTTTTCCCGTTGAGGTACTCCTCTGCGGCCTTGGTGTGGCCTTTGGCATGCAGCGCCTCGGCCTTGATGAGGCGCTTCATATCACGGTGGGCGAGGTGGATATTGCGCCCGAGCGTGATCTGGTAGGTGTGCATGTAGTAGGAGCCGTCGTCAAAGCGCAGGCGCGCAAAAGCCGTGAGGCGCTCATTTGTGGTTGGGGGCATGAAGGGGTCCAGAGCAGGGAAGGCAGAGGCAGCGGTGGCGACATCCATGGGCAGCGGAGCAGCGACGGCAGTGGTTGCGGCCATGTCGCCGTTCATGTCGCCATTCATGTCGGCAGACTGGGCGAGATTGATGGGGTCGGCGAGAGGGGAGATTTGGGGATGGCCGGGGGTGTTGGCTGTGTTCATGTTGTCGATGGCGTCCATGGGACCGGGATGGGCAGGCGCATCCTCTGCGCTGGGGGCAGGCAGGGCTGGCGGCGCATCGGTGGTGGTGGTAGTGATGGTGGAAGCCATGTCGGAAGCGCGCTGGTGGTTGATGGACGGGTGGCCGGGGGCGGGGGAGTCATCTTGGGCGACGACATGGTGGAGCTGCTCGCTAGACGGGGCTACGGCCATGCTGCTGCCGCCATGTTCGGAGGGAGCTGGGCGGGGGTTGGGTGTCGTGGCTATCGTGGTGGCTATCGGGTGGTGGTGCTTGACGTGGGCGAGGGCGAGAGCGAGGTGAGGTTTTGGGCCGGGGGTCGTGGATGGCGCCCTCTGCACACGGACGCGGTTTAGCGGCGCGCTTGTTTTTTCTAGTGATGCAGCAGGGCGTGGGCGGATATCGCGCAACACGTAGAGTATACAAGAGAGACAGCAGGCAAAAGGCCAGAGTCGAGCTGTCGCAAACGAGCTGGTGTTGTCGGAGAGAGAGACTTGCGCCGGGCCTAATCTTGCTGCACGTGCCATGACCGCAGAACCATCGTACTTTCTTAGTGTAGCAGGGCTACTGCTCCTTCCATACTAGTCGGTCCCGCCTCGTCCAGCCAGTCGCCCACAATCATCATCATCATCAATCACATCAATCACATCAATCACAGCAAAGCACTGCACAACACTATTCTACTCTACCCTACTCTACACCATACTACACGACACTACACCGCACGGCACGGCAAAATACTCCATGGCTCCCAAAAAGAAGGCCTTGCCTGCCGCATCCACCAAGTCTGCTGCAACACCCCAGCCCGCCCACACACTGCCCAATTGGCCTGCCTTCAATCCCCTCGTCCCAGAAGCAGACGTAGCGCTGCGACAAGTCCTCCCCAATCAGATCATCACCATTCCCAACTTCTGGCCAGCGGCGTTATGCAAGACCTATGTATCTTTTTTATCTTCGCTGCCGCTGACTACCACTCCCGGGAAGCCCAAAAAGGGCGATGCAGTGCGAGTCAATGATCGCTTCCAGATTGACGACCCTGCCTTTGCTGAAAGGCTGTGGAGTCAGACGGCATTGAAGAATCTTGTGACGGGCGCGTTGGGCTTGGATGAGAAGCAGCGGCACAGTCTGTGGGGCGGCGACGTTGTGGGTCTCAATCCCAACATCCGCATCTACCGCTACACCAAAGGCCAGTTCTTTGACCAGCATTGTACGTCGGTGCCGCTTCCTCGCCTACCACCCAGCCCTACCTACTCTACTCAATGCCAACTGCTCTATGCCACTAACTCGCCCAGATGATGATTCAAACAATGTCACAATTCCTGGCTCGCCACCAGTCCAAGCACGAACCACTTGGACCTTGCTGCTTTACCTAACCTCTCCTGCAACCGGATGCATCGGTGGAGAAACTGTCTTCTACCCAGACCCACCCAAGTCCAAGTTCAAGACCAGAGGCCCTCCACCCGAGCCGCTGCAAGTAGACCTTCAAGTCGGCCTTGCCCTTTTGCATCGCCATGGCCCAGATTGTATGCTGCACGAGGGGCGCCAAGTCGTCGGCGGCGAGAAATGGGTAATCAGAAGCGATCTATGCGTCAAACGCTGATGAGTCTGGTTTCTTCAACCAAGTCTCGGTTCAGAGCCCCGACTCTGTCATTCAACAAACCCCATTTCTTGCAACCTGGTTCCTGTTGAAAAATCGCAACGCCAACTCCGGAATGCCCAGGTGCAGGTCACATTGCGCTTATTGTCGAAATGTATCACCAAATCGCAGACTCTGGTGCTTGCCAGACAGTGATAGCAACTCACAATCACCTCGCCATCTTGTAAGCTGGTTGATACATACATCAAACTCGTCAAATGACCCAAATACGGCAAGTTCATGAGCACATCTTCCAACGGTGGCTTTGGCGCTCATCAAACATCACCGACAAGCCAAGGCTTGGCCAGGAAAGAAGATGAACTGAACTATGTCTTTTTCGAAGTGGCTACATACACACAACCGTGCATTCTGTTCTCCTTGTGGACCTCAACCTGCCAGGTCCATCTTAGTTCACGCGCGATGCCTACCTCCATCCATCTTAGGCTATAGTTCCCTCCTGCACGTGTACCACACTTCTCCTCCAGCATTGCCACAATCAGCATTGGAGCATATCTGGCTTCCGGCCACCAAATCGTAGTGCTTTTTACAAACAGAGTGATACCAGCCGAGATTAGAAGCATGATTTGCTAAAACGAACAGTTCCGCATTGTCCTTCTTGTCAAATGCCCAAACGTCTCGATGAGATTCAACGGCCACTTGACAGCGGGGGCAGATCCTGCTACCGGAACGCTCACCATCATTGTAATGATCGCATGGTCTACATACCCACCCCGCCTGTCTATCGTCCCGGCCTTCTTGTGCATGTTGTTTTTGAAATCGTTTACGGTTGCGTGCTTGAATCGCTTTGGGATCCGCACGTTCTGAATGGGGCTCTCGCGGGCCTTCTTTGGGAGAAGACATGCCGCATCCCATCTGAAAGATCTTGTGTTCGAGCGGAACAACCTGCCACTGGAAAAGCTCACAGAAGAATTATATATATACTTCCTGTGTGTGCTTGCTTCATTCATGTTGATTGCTTCATCCATCGCTCATGACTACGCTGGAAAGCCCCATGGCCGACTTGTTACTTTCTTGCCAAATGACTTCCTTACCATATGGGCAAGGTTTGCAATACCAATCATGTTACTTACTTGTCATGCCAGTACGTGACTAACGGGGTGGACTTGTAAGCTGTCCACGTGCCAAGACTACTTTTCACACTCGTGTGAGTGTATTGCTGTAATTTAGACTGGATCCATGTTCCCTGTGTATTGCAATAGATCTACTTCATAAAACCGTCAAATTCACTACTGTATTGGCAAAACTCACACTGTTTTCCATCACAAGGTAGTGATTGAACAGGTAGCCTGCGTGTACTCTATCCAACAAGTCGGACCAAGTACATGATTCATGGGGTCTGTTAGTGGTATCTTAGCCCTTCTTTCCCTCTGCGCCACCAGAGTCTTCTCAAGATTCGATTGGACTCGTGTGAGGGCGAGAATAACATGCAGATAGTAACAACAATGCATGTACCCGCACCAAAGCGTAACGCCTGCTGCGACGGGCCCTATCAAGGTGCGCCACCATGTTGCACGACTTTTGTGAGACGCGCACACCCTTGCACTCGTCCCCGCTGAAGAATTCTGTTCAAGTACCAAGATGTGCCACCTTTGTAGACCACATTGCCTCTCACCTCTTCTTCCCTTCTTTACGAATAAACTTACCATGTTGGAAGCAGGACTCATACGTACTTCAGTGTATGAGAAAACAACAGATGCCCCACAGCAGGGGCAGGAGATGAGTCCCGTCTTTGGACGCTCGTGGGATACATACCCCGGAGGCTATCCCATGCTGGCCGAACGCATTGCTTTGAAACCACAGACAGCTATCTATCGCAGATTCGACGCCCTGAATTCTCGGCGTATACTGTATCTTCAAGCCGAGCTTTGTTCCCTAGAGAGCCGTCTGCGAAAAATGGAGGAACAAGAAGACCAGGAAAATAAGAGGGACAAAAGAAGATTTACCGAGTTCGCAGTCGACTATAACTGCATGCTCAAAGCCAAGGATGGCGAGGGGAAGCCACACTTAGAACTTCTTGAGAGAATTGGGGAAAAGTTGAGCCAGTACAGTGAGTTAGAATGTCACCAGAAAGGTAAATTGAGGGCAACATGACTAAAATGCTACACTCATAGATGAAGCGCTTCTACAAGTCTCAAACTTATCCCAAATCCCAGCACCGCAGAAATTCGATCTTGCTGACATCCAACACTTCCTAGACAGCAAGGCCATGGAGTCCAACCTTCTCAATGGTATTGACTCACCTACTTGGGGCTCTTGTGACAAATCTGGAGACCATGCGCCAGACCTAGTTGGAGTACACCCTCGCCCAAAGGCTGATGATTTCTCTCGCTGGATTGCAGAGGAGTCGGTACGGCTGTTTTCCTGTGGACTCGGTCGTCTCACAAAAGGCACTCCCGGTCTGGGACGCAAAGTGTATTATGACTCGCAAATCCTGAAGATCACGTCTTGGTTGACGTGTATCCTGGCATCGCTATTGCCCATTGCATCCATCTTGGTCCTGTTGAATGTGCCATCACTCAAAGGCAGGCTTTGGGTCATTGCTGCCTTCAATATCTTGATGAGCGTGTGTTTGAGGACGTTTACGGAGGCGAAGAAGTCAGAAGCATTTGCCATTACTGCTGCGTAAGTCGATCCTTCACAAACATGTTTTCTGGCTTGTGCTGACCCTTGTAGCTTTGCTGCTGTTCAGGTGGTGTTTGTAGGAACGGATCGTGACCCGGGTACCCAATGAGCGCTTGTCGTTTGGTGGTGGCGCTCAGGTGTCGTCTTTCAGTAACGTGTCCGTGCACCTCGTGCACGGATTCATCTCGTGCACGCCGAACACCATCTCAGCGATCTCAAAAATGAGGCTGTACAACGCCACATAAT